AAACAAATTGTTTTGAGACAGGAACTAATGTAGCTCAGGCTAACTTCGAACTTGTGATCCTCCTGCCTCCACCTAACAGATGCTGGGATTCTAGGTGTGTGCTACCACACATAGCTTTTCATTTAGGGGAATAACATATTTCTATTGTATACTTTTTTGTCCTGTTTAAGAAAAATACTGGATATATCAAACTCAGTTCTTCAAATTTTCATTAAAAAATGATTTTGATATAAAGTATGTCATTGTTTTGAGTTTTGTGTTACTATTCAGTCTTCCTTTCAGTGTGCTCCTCAGTTTCAGTTACCCAGAAGCTTCTTTCCATGCTTTTTTGTTTTTTTTGCTTTTTTTTTGTTTGTTTGTTTTGTTTTGTTTTTGGTTTTTCAAGACAAGGTTTCTCTATGTAGCCCTGGCTGTCCTGGAACTCACTCTGTAGATCAGGCTGGCCTCGAACTCAGAAATTCACCTGCCTCTGCCTCCCAAGTGCTGGGATTAAAGGTATGGGCCACCACCGCCCGGCTACCCATAAGTTTCTTAATTATTGATTCTGGACAAAAAGACCTTAAGTCACCTTTGGTCACTTTGTCCTTTGTTTATTGGTCTGTGACTGTCAGCAGGAGTTATTTTAAAACCCTTTACTGCCTGCTTCAAAAATCTTACTAAGAGAGTCGCCAAAGCAAGCTATGATTTACATGTACCTTGGGGTTTAAGGATGCCCCCTACAGTGCTCTTTTTAATGGGAGTGGACCATTTTGTTCTGTGTTTAGTGTCCCACCTAGAATCATTAATAGGAATTGATTTAATTTACCAACATGTTAGCTTTTAGGTGTCTTCTAAGAATATTAAGCTAGTCCTATATATTACAAATTAGAAAATACTGATTCAATTTTCCTATTATATCCTAGGCCATTTTGTATTTGTTTCTCTATAACTGCTTTTAAACTTAAAAAAATGTGTTTTAGAGAGTCTGACTGCCCAGAATTCTTGATCTTCCTTCTACATGCTGGGATTATGGATGATTAGTTAAAATGTAAAGTGAATTCCTATATAATCTGACAACTGAGGTATATTAGTATTGTAAGCCAGAGAGCAGAGGCCCTGATTGTCAGCACTGCAATATGGTCACTTCAGTTACTGCTGAAGGACGTGAACAAGAGGAGAAAGGAAAAGGGCAAAGAATGGAAGTACAGAGAAATCCAGACACATGGGTAGCAGCAGTTGGCTGTTGGTGCAGCTGGTGCCACATGCGTGCAGCTGGCACTGGGACAGTCCTGGAGGGTGCTAATGACTAAATGGCACAGTTCCTGTCTTCTGTGTCTTTCTTCAGAGAAGTCAAACAGTAACGTGCACAGTGTTAGATAGGGCAAGTGCAGAGTACTACAGTATGCATCTAGTTTTTCTCTAGAAGTGTGAATCATACATTTTTCAGGGTTGGCCTTGTTTGCAGTTCTTTCCAAAGGCAGACAGACCACCCTCTGCTTGGAAAACAATTTATATTCTTAGTCTTGTTTAAAAAGAAGTCTTTAGGCCCAGCAGGATGGCATCTACATGAAGGAGAACAGAACTGACTCCTGGAGGCTGCTTTCTGACATCCATAGATGTCTGGTGCTGTGTGTGTACATATAAATGCACAATAAATAAAAGTATTTTATTTTGAAAATTTACTAAGAAAGGACCAGTATGAGTAAGTATAATGTCTCACTGTTCTCATGTTGGCTGGAAAGAAGAACCGGTATATAATACAATTTTTTCTGTGTGTGGATGCTTGTCTGTGTGTGGGTGCCCATACATGAACTTGCAGATTCATATGCATGTAGTGCCCAGGGAGGCTAGAAAAGGACACTGAATCACCAGGAACTGGGGTTACATGAAGTTCCACTATATGGACACTGGGAACCGAACTCCAGTCTCCTGAAGGAAAAAAAAAAGCAGCTGGCACTCTGAGCCACTGAACCATCTCGTCAACTTTTTTTTAAAATAAAAATTCAACAGGTTTTATCTCCTGAGAGACGAGATGACTCAGAGACTGAGAAGATAGAGTCAGTGACTTATAGTGAAACTGGTGGTACTTTTAGTGGATTCTTAGTCAATTTAAGAACAGTGTTACTACTGCCACCTGCTTGTCCATGCTATTGATAAATTTGTAAGCGTTATTTCATTGGTTGACTGTAGAGGTTCTTTTAAAGCACATCTACAAACTTTTGGGGGAGGTCAGGCCAGTTCTGCAGTTTTAGGCTGATGAATTCCATTACAAACCTCCTATAAACATTCCATGAAGAAAACTGCGTCAGAGAGCTCTTTGCTGTGAGGTTATGAAACTGGGTTTGTTCTGCTTGTGAAGGAAGTCAGGGAAGGGTATGGAGGGCGGGGCTGGGAGGACAGCCCAATGGGACTCAGATCTAAGTAACAACTAAGGGTTATTTCTGAAGAACTAACTGAGGTAGAGTTCAGACTTGAAGTCTAAATAATGTGTTTCTTTTTTGTAGCAGAGTTTTGTTGATTCGTTTAAAATGTTCTGTTAATTAACTCTAAGAACTCTAAATGAATTTAGAAGAGGAAATTTTTTAAAAGATCACTTTTCCTCCTCTTGTGGATGATTCTATTTACCCTTGATTGTGTCATTGATCTTTTAAACTGTTGAGTAAGAATCATGTATTTAACTGGTAGTAACTGAGCCTTGATTGTTAAATTGTTGCTAATTATGCCATTATACTCTAGAAATGAAACAAAACAAAAACTAAGCTAACCTCCTCCTCATTCTCTGGTATAACGTCAACAGAAGCTTTTTCTCCTGTGAAGTGTGATGTGTGAACTCCACTCTGCTCTTCAAACATTTTTAGTTCTCTGGATATTTTTAAAAATGGAAGTGTTTAGCCACATAGAGGTAGTCCAACATGTTTAATCCCAGCATTTGGGAGAGGGGTGCAGGCAGGTCGTCTGTGAATTCAAGGCCGACCTGGTCTACATAGCTAGTTTCAGGTCAGTCAGGGTTGCATAGTGAGACCTTGGCTTAAAACAAACAAAACCCAAAAGAATGTGCTTCACCATGATTTTATTATCTGGATTGTGAATACATTGATTATAATTTTTCTCAAATGTTTTACATATATGTAAATTACTTACTAGGAAGGGATTTTTTTCTTCAGGCAGTTTCTTTATGTGCATGTAAAAAAGCAAGCAAGGCACAATTTATCAACTTTAAATTTGAAAAAGAAACTAATTGCAAGATAAATTGACTTTTCTTATAACAGGCTATAATATTAAAAATTTTTAATTTTTAATTTTGTATCAGGAATTCAATTTTAGTTTGAGGAGAACAGCAATAAATAGTAGACGTGTACTTGTGTAAACTGTAGTAGTGTCCTAGTGGTTTAGTCGACGGAGTAGCTGCGGCTGCATTAGGAGGAAAGGGGTGGGGGGTAAGGAGACAGGCTCTAATCTGAATTAGAACTAGGAACCAGGTTTGCCAGCCCTAACTTGCCATGATATGTTTGGGGTTGTGAAGTTGGGTTGTGTCATGCTTTAACAATAATGAAGTGTTGTGTGTACCCAGATGGGATGTTGCTGTGATACCAAAGAAACTTCTATGTTAGCTCAATAGATGGTGAATATAAAAATAAGCAGTATGTGTTGGCCAAAGGCAGGGGAGACAGGCCACAGCTGAGTTTGTTGAGATATACCCTCCATCACTCCTTTAGTATAGTTTTGTGGTTAGGCAAGAGAAGGCTGCTGCTGGTAGGACAGCTGCATATGCAGGTAGACACCAAACATAGACTGGGAATGAGGCTTTCTTCATGCGTTTAATCTTTTACAACTAATACTCGTTTGTTTGGTCAGAGATGATTAAAAACTCAAAATTTCTTTTGAAGGAAATCAAAACAGGGGGCTTATGGGCTTTTGGAACCTTGTAGGTATATGAAAAGTAGGGTATGCCATTGCTGAACTTTTACACTGAGAAAGAAATGGGGCCTCTAAATAAATAAACCTTTACACCCTGTCCAGAGGGTAGTGTTCATGCCAAGGATGACAGTGAATAGGAAACTTGGTGAGGTGAGAAGAAACTTGATGAGGTTGCATTTAGAAAGGGCTGTGAGGATGTTTAGTTGTGAGTTCATAATTCTCTGGTTATCTAAAAAAATATAAAACTCCTAGACTATTTCTAGCATTCCCCCAATCTTTCCTGTCCCCAGAATTTTAACTTCATGTTCTTTTTTTTTTTTTTTTTTTTACAGTTACACTTATTTATTGTTGAGGATGGAGGGGTTTAATTCATGTGGAGGTCAGGACAGTTATGGGAGTCAGTTCACTCCTTCCAGGCAGCCTCCGTGGTGCTAGGATTGTTGATGTGTGCCACTGTGCTCAGCTCTTCTAACGTTTTTTGTTTGTTTGTTTTAGTAAGGAAAAAATAGGGTAGAAAACTTGTGAGCTGATGGAGTAGATTAAGAATATATGGGCCAGTGAGTTAGCTCAGTGGGTTAAGGCAGTTGCTGCCAAGCCTGAGTTCAGTCCCCAGGACCTACCTGGTGGAAGGAGTGAACTGACTCCCAAAACTGTCCTCTGACCGCCACATGAATTGAACCCTTCCACCACCAACAATAAATAAGTGATATTAAAAAAAAAAAAAAAGAACATGAAGTTAAGATTCTGGGGACAGGGAGTATTGGGGGAACGTTAGAAATAGTCTAGGAGTTTTATATTTTTTAGATAAATGACTGGTTCTGCTGGAAAGTGGAGCCAACTGAGTGGGGTTTGCGGTAAGTGAAGGCCGGGGAACCCTTTCATTTGAGCAGCAGCAGCAGCACATGTAGTTGGTAAGAGAGCTTTCGGCTGACGATGGAGGTTGATACAGCACTTGGAAAATTTAGTTAACTTACACAAACATGCTTATGTAAATATACTGTCTGTTTTGAAAGTTGAAAGTACTCATTTGTGAAGGATGAAGAGTTTTCTTTAATGCTGCGTTGCTTGTGCACTGACAGATTATTCACTTTCTTTTTCTCTAGGGTTTGGATTCAGGATTTGTTCCTAGTGTCCAAGACTTTGATAAGAAACTTACTGAGGCTGACGCTTACCTGCAGATCTTGATAGAACAATTAAAGGTATGGTGCCATGATTTGATGTAAAGTAGTAAATGTTACTAAGCCAGACTTACAAGAAGTTATTTGATAGTGATTTATATCCCTTCTGTGGCTTTCAGCAATTTTTAAAGTTGATTCTTTTACTTTTTCTCTTAATTGTATTGATAAAATTTATGTTCTGTACTTTTGATTATTGAGGGAAAAGCTAAATAGGATATTGTGAGGCCTTGGGTTCACTCTTCCTTTCATCTTTGTCCCTTTTAATTAAAATGATAGGTCATGGGAAGAAAAATCTTCATTAACTTAGAAGACAAAGCAGAAAAACCTCTTGAGTTTAAACAGATACTCTTTAAGCTACCAACACTCTTGCATAGCTAGAGTCTATAATCTCAGTCCTTGGCGGATCACCTGTTTGAGGCTAACTGTGTAGTAAACTACATAATTCCTGCCAGCCTAGGCTACAGAATAAGACCCTGTTTTCAAAATTTAAAAATTTTGTTTGAGGCGCTGGGGAGAAGGCTCAGTGCTTGATAAGCAAACATGAAGGTCTGAGTTTCTTTCCCAGCACTCACGTCAAAACTGGGTACAGTAGTACATGTCTGTAACCCTCCCTAACACACACACACACACTCACACACTACACACATGCTACTCACACACACATGCTACACACATTTTTAAAAAGTTCAAAAAGTCATGGTTTTGACGATAGATGGCTCTGTCGGTAAAATCACTTGGTAAGAAAGCAGAGGCCCTAGTTCAAATCCCTAGCCCCTATGTAACAAACCACGCATCCCCATACATGCCTATAATTACACCACTGCAGGACTGAGACAGGCAGATCCTGGGAGCTTGCTGGCCAGCCAGCCTACCTATAACAGCTTCAACGAGAGTTCCCGTCTCACAGAGCAAAGTGGAGAGTGGTAGAGGAAGACACTGGTCTCTTCTTGCCTCCATGTGTGCACACACATGTGCATACATTGCAAACATAGACAAAGATTACTTTTTTTTTGCTGCTATTCTATGATAACATTTAGTGGCATTATCAGGTCACACTCATTCACACAGAAGAATGTGATTTGATATAGAGCCTTGAAAAAAAATTATGCTATGTTAAAAAGGCATATGTTAGCCACAGCAGAAATGTTTAGAAACTAAGGTTTACTTTTCTGTTTAGTAAATGTACAAAGTGTAATAAAATACCTTTCTACTAAAATGTCTTTTTCATATCCTGTAGCTTTTTGATGACAAGCTTCAAAATTGTAAAGATGATGAACAGAGAAAGGTAACTTTTACAACCATAATTTCACCTAATTTTTTAAAATTCAAAAATTTTTGGTTTTTGTTTTTCTTTTTCTTTTTCTTTTTGGTTTTTCGAGACAGGGTTTCTCTGTGTAGCCCTGGCTGTCCTGGAACTCACTCTGTAGACCAGGCTGGCCTCAAACTCAGAAATTCGCCTGCCTCTGCCTCCCCAGTGCTGGGATTAAAGGCGTGCACCACCACTGTCCAGCTCAAAAAATTTTTTAAAGGTATTGAAAGTCTATCAGTGTTCTATTATAATAATATTGTCGAAGCCAGGGGATCTAAGGTGTGCTTAGAATCCCTGCCCCGGGAAGGGTGAGGCAGGAAGATCAGGAGTTCACAGCCAGCTTATACTACCTAGCAAGATTCTGTATAAGATGAAACAAAATGGTTGAGGCATGGTAGCACATGTCTTTAATCCCAGCATATGAAGCTTTGTGAGTTTGAGGCCCCAGAGGACTACATAGTGAGACCCCCATCTCAAGACAACAAAAATCCAAATCTACCAAACCATCAAAACCAATATTACTCATCTACTGTGTACTGCTGAAATGTGCTCTCAAGTGGTGTTATTTGGCAAGTTCTCATTTACAGTGTGATAATTAAATAAAAGAATAATATGCAGATTTTAAAATCTGTTTTTACAAGTATTTAGATATCTGGAAGTGTGTTCTTCTCTATATATGGTGTATTGAAGGTAGAAAGTTATTAATTTCCAGGCTCACACTATTAATTCCAGCACTCAGGAGGCAGGGGCAGGATGACCTCTGAGTTCCAGGCCAGCCTAGTCTACAGAGTTTGTTTCAGGCCACTCAGAGCTACACAGGGAGACCCTGCCTCAAAAAACAAAAACAAACAGAAAACAGGTAGAAAGTCACTAAGTTGGATTGCTCAGCATGCAGGAGGCAGCAAGAGCAGCCCGTGCTCACTCAGCCTCCTGCTTCTGTTCGGTTCCTTGGGTTCTGTGGGTATTTATAGCTGCCTTATCTTTTCTTGCCCAGTTCCTGGTGCAGAATTTTTATTCTTATTGTTGTTTTACTTTAGGGAAGGTGATTTTTTTTTTAAATCGTGAAGTCTGTAATAAATGTAAAATCTGTTTTCAGGAAAAGTGTTAGAATGTTTTATACTTTCTTATAAGTCTTGGATTGCATAAATTTTATGAGTGTTTATCCATAAAGTATCTGGAATTTTAAATTTAAATAATGAATTTAGATAAAAACAAAAGCAAAAAAGTATTTTCTTCCTAACTTGATTATACTGACTTAGAAATAGTATGAGTAAAATAATCTTTTAAATGCCTAATTCCTAAAAACAACAGTGCTTCTTTGTGATTCTCATTATTTTTACTTGAAACTTATTTTTCACAGAAAGTTGAAACTCTCAAAGACACAACAAATGTAAGTTATATATTAAACTCTCAAATTGGAATATCAAAAATATTAAAATATCAAATTGGAAGCTGCTTTTAAATGTCTCTTTTCTTAACCTCCTGCTGTTAACTAAGAACAACCAATGTCTCAATTCTTACAGATTTTTATGAGAGTATTTATTTAAGAATTGTGCCAAGGATTTATTATCCCCATGGTTGAAATTGACTCTGTGTACAGTCTTATTTGTTTCTGGTCTTACTTCTGTGGTATCTTGGAACAAAAGTGTCCTCCATGCATGAGTATAAGGTGTAGTAGGTATTGTAGCGCACATCTGCAGTCAAAGCAGTGGGTGATGAGGCAGAAGGATCAGGAGGTAAAGGCCAGCTTCAGCGACATAGTGAGTCTCAAGCCAGCCAGTCACAAGCTGGGACGTTTTTGAGACCTTGTCTAAACAACAACAAGAAAAAAATACAAAGAAAAGACAGAAAGGAAAAAAAAAAAGATAGTGCAGGTTCACAGTCCCATAGCTGAGATTCTGGACATTAGAAGTATCTCTGACAGATCATTTGCACAGACATAAGATACATGGAGAAAAGTAACTCAGTTCTAAATACAAAATTCATTTATGTTTCTTAAATACCTTACCATGCGGTTGATGCCTGTATATTGACTCCCTGACTAAAATCAGGACTTGGGACTTGGAGGATTAGAGACACTCAACCTGTACATACTCTCACTTTTAAAATACAGGATGATTCAAGCTTCCTTAATTCACGGCCCTTTGATATTATCTAATAGACTACTAATGATACTTGAATCTTGATAAAAGAATTTTTAAAAAGTATTTTAAAATAAGGAAAGCAATATTTTAGATATGAATGTTATGACCAGATCCCTTACTCTCTGTCCTGGTCTTGCTGGAATTAATATTGGGGTTGCTGCTATTGATCTAAAAAATTGAAAGCTGATCAGATTAACCTATCTTTCTCTTTGAGAGAATATTTGGTATAAATCAATGTGATGTTCCTTTACAAATCATAGAGTTGCTAATAAATAACTTCATGTAGCACTGTCAGCAAATTAGAACTCACCAGATACACATAAGAGAGTGTTTGATATGTAGACTTCACTCCTTTATATATTTGAACTGATTTTTAAAATATTTTAAGCTCTAATATTATGCAACTTTTATTTGCAGCAATATTCTAAAATCAGTGTTTTGTCTTTATAGAGCATGGTAGAATCAATTAAACACTGCATTGTGTTGCTACAGATTGCTAAAGTAAGTAAAATTTACTTTTTATTACCTTACAAAGTTACAATTTAAAATACCGTGTTGGATTATTTTTTAGTAAACACAAAACTCAGTTCTGAGACAGTTCTGAAACATTACCTTTCAATAGTAAGCTAAATTTTGGGACACTATTGAACAACTAGTGGGTTTAGATGTTATCACACACATGGTTTTTTTGTGTTCTGGTAATAATTTCTAGTAGTGTCTGGGAAGGAAGGGCACATGTTTAAGGAACTCACCCTTTCCTTTTCACAATGACTGCAGCTTAAATGTTTTAGATACTTTTTTCTTAGAAGTCAGGGATTAAGCTTTAGCACAGTTATTTTTCTTATGTATAGTAAAGAGTATAATAGAGGTATTTTTGAAATTTGTGTTTGACACAGGTTTTTGTTTGTTTTTGAGGAGTATACTGAACTACATTGTTGAACCACTCGTTAATTATTTTTATCAATGACAAAATGGGTAGTGAATTATTGTGGCTAAAAATAGTAGCGTATATCTACTTTTTTGAAAGCTTTTTAGTATACTGAAATATATGCCTGGAATTTTCAGAAAGAAATACATTGAGAATAAGCACTTGGTAAAAAAAACCTTCTGCCCACCTTTATATTTGACATCTGTGCATCTGTCTCAGCTAGTGGGTAGAAGCAGGCAGGTAGACAGTGCTACAGGCAGGCTTGACAATAATTGATAATAATTGAAAGAAAACTAGGTTTTGTTTGCCCAGTTATGGAATCTCTTTTCTTACCTCACATTGCTAGTGACACAGCCTAGGATGCGGTTGAGGTATGAAATTCAGGCTGAGTTTTTGTTTCGTTTTTCTTGGGTCTAAGTTTACGTAACTGCATTGGAAAGCACCTGCAGATGTGGTGGGAGGCAGCGGATCTTCCCATTCATCAAAACTGTGTCTAGTGTGGTGATGGAGGAAATAGAGTTGAGATTTGTGGGCCAGTCTGGGTAGTCTCAAAGTCATTTAGAGCTTTAGATAGCTGGGACTTTATGCGTAGCCTTCTCTTGGCTCAGTGTCTCCTCCCTTAGCTATGCATTAAGAAACATCTTACAAGTTTATTACATGAAGTTTTTTATTATGTGTGTAGCAGTCAGAGGCCAACTTGTGGGAGTTGATTCTCCGGCATTCAGTCTTCTATTATGTGGGGCTCTGGTCTCCAGCCTTGGCACCTTTACCTGCTGAACCATCTTGCTGACCTTCATCAAGAATATTTTTGGCATTCTGTCTTTGATCTATATTACAGTTCAGATTACTCAGTTTCTTTCCCACTAGTTCCCACAGTTTAATATTTTAGTCCTGGCTGGCAGGTCTACTTTTCAGGACATTTCAGAATGAAATCACTTGAAGTTTGGCTCCTTATCAGTTCCAGAAGAAAGTTTTATGTTGTCAACACTTGTTTTTGTTTTTGTACAAACAGAACTTGGAAACCTGTTGGCACCCTATATGACTGCATATTTAAGCTTAATTTCAGTGTGAATCTTACCAGTTGCCTGCTCACACCCTTCCTTTTCTTTTGCACCTGGAGACAACTACCTGACCTTTGAGCCGTCTGTCTCATCTCCTGCCTCTGCTTGATCCCACTGTTCCATAACAGGGGCCTGTGTTGCCTTTGTTTTTCTCTTCAGAGGAGGCCAGCTTTCCTCTCGGTTTTAGGGAACTTTGCATCTGTTGGGTGGCTCCTCTCACAGGGTAGTCTCTTATCTCAACTTCATTCAGACTTCTGTCACATGAAATGTTTTGACTATCTAAAATAAGCTCTATAGGTATCACAGTAGCTTCTTTTTCTTTATAACTTTGTATCGCTGGCCAAGACTGCATCATGTGTTGTGCTCACTCACACTTACTGTGTTTGTATTGAACCTTTTGTCTCTTTGAGGACTCAATGGCACTGGCCTTTATTCTCTCAGACTTTCATAACAGGATATCATAGAGATTGGATTAATTCTGTCATTCAATAAGACTCTTCCCTTTTCAGTGTCTGGTGAGGGATTCCCTTCTCAGCCTGGAGGCCTTCACCTTCTGCCTTTACCCTTGTCCTCTCATAGCCTTTCTGTGGTTGTATGTATAGAGGAAAAGATTCTCTGGTGTCCATGATCATAAAGACTTTGCTTATGGGTTTTTATCTTGGTTTTTGTTTGCTTGTTTTTGTCTCTTACATTTATGTCAGTGTTACACTTTGATTTTTGTTAAAATAGGAATAAAGGATCAAAATCCGTTATTTTTATGTGATTTTTTTTCCTATCACTAAAACTGCATTTTCTGAATGTCATGAAACTTGGAATATATATTAGAATTTACATAGGTATATAATTAAGACATTTGTCATCAGAGCAGAGTGATCTTTAACCTTTTTAAAAGTATGAACGGTTTAAAAATACCGGAATTTATAATTCTAGTCAAAGGTCCTCTCAGATGAAGAGGTGCTCATGCTTATGTCAGAGGCATGTTTCCACACCTTGATCATGCTTATGTATTTAAACGAGGTACAGCCTAGGACGTGTCACCATGTGCACACATGCTGTGCTTGAATTCAGTAGAGTCTCTGGTGCAGGATTCCTTGATATTTTGCTTTAGAAAAACCCAATCAGCTCTCCAAGATAATAGACCAGATATTATGGGTTATTATGGGCGATAAAGCATTTAAGAGGCTGTATGCTTGTGTGTATTTCACCACACTTTAAAGGGAAAATGAGCTCTGATTTAGAATATCAAGATAGCATATATGAAAGAAACATTTTGAGTGAAAATTGTCAAATGTAGTTTAGGATTTATTTGATCACACAAAAACCAGAAATGCTAGATGGTAGAGTTATGTTGTTATATTTATTTTGAGGTAGGGTCACCTGTAGCCCAGGCTATCCTCAAACTCAGTGAGCTGAGGTTGAATTTGGTGACCTGTGTTCTACTTTGCCAATGTTAGGGCTACAAGTGTGTCCAGACACACAGTAATCTGTGCAGTGTTGGGGATCAAACCAGGGTTTCTTGTAAAGCTGAACTATGTGCCCAGCCTCTGGTTTCCATAGATGAAAGTGTATCAATGATAACAGTAATCTGTAACAAAGCACTTTAAAATTGAGTCTTAAAATTGTGAATGGCTTGTTCCTTATTCATCCATCCCTGTGTATGCAAGGTCCCACTCAGGTCAGAAGAGCACATCAGATTCCCTGAGACTGATGTTCTAGTGGTTGCTTGGAACTGAACCTGAGTCCTCTGGAAGTGTAGCAAGTGAGTGCTCTTAAGCTGAGCTATCTCTCCAGCCCTGAAGTACTCACCTTGAAGATGGCTTACTTACATAGCTGTGAAGTTGTTGGGGAGTAGAGTTCAGCTTCTCTCTGTATTGTTGTCTTTGTGGCTTCCTGGAACTCTTGATAATCTATAGGCTGCAAGAAAGCAAGGCAGGTTGTGGTGTTGGAAGTCATGTATAACTTTTTCATTTAGTAAGGTTAGTCACAAAGGCCCACAGAGTTCAGCAGTAGAGAGAATATATTTGCCTAACAACAGACCCATCCTTGGCACATTTGGCCTTCTTTATTTCATATTCTTAAAGTCTTAGGGAGAAATCATTTTAGTGTTTAGAAATGAGAAGAGGAAAACTAAATGCCAAAAGTTTATAATCTGAGCAGGAAACTTGATTTTTCTTTCTCTGGTTTTTTTTTTGGGGGGGGGGGCGGTTCGAGACAGGGTTTCTCTGTGTAGCCCTGGCTGTCCTGGAACTCACTCTGTAGACCAGGCTGGCCTCGAACTCAGAAATCCGCCTGCCTCTGCCTCTGCCTCCCAAGTGCTGGGATTAAAGGCATGCACCACCACCACCTGGCACTTTTCTTTCTCTGTAATTCTAAATGTCTTATATTTTTAATTTTTCTGTATTAGCATTACTGAGACTTTAGAGTATCAACTGTGTAGTTTACTCTGTTGTTGACATAAAGGGGAAGATATCGATTTGAATTGTGTAGATATTAAATGCAATTACTCTGGGAGATATGTAACAAATATGTACCCTGGGCCAAGAGTTCCTAGAGGACAGCTGGTTGGCCAGGATAGAGAGAACACAACGTTTGGTTGATGAGTTACAGCAGCAAAGTCAGCAAGAGGAAAGGTACAGAAGGAGCTCGGAGGAAACCAGACACATTTTCAAGAGTTCTCCAGTGAAGCCCTGTAGGATGTGCTCAGATCCTCCTGTGACAAATCATTACCAAGCGTGAGAAATGCTTTCTACAGGGAAGCCCATTAGAGACCCTGTGCTCTGGTTTTTACTAGAGACTTGTCAGTAGGTACTTCTACCATTCTAGACTATAAGTGAGGCCATATTGTTTACACAAGAAATGTAATGAGCCTCTTACCTTTTGATGCTTTGGGCCCTCTTCAGACCCGAGTTCTGAGACAACAGTGAGCTGTTTTTAGTGGCTTTTCTGAGAGCTGTCTCAGGTCTGCTGTAATAGCTCTTTTCTGCATATGCACTTAAATAAAATGATGTGAGATCCTCAAATTCTTTCTGATTGACACTTTGATGTATAGATTTCTGAAAGTCCATATTAATAGATAAATATTTGGAGATGTAATTTTTATGTTTAAGACAAAGACTTAGCTTCTAGAAGCTTTTAGAAGACAAAGAAGATTGGCTTCTATTTAATCTTGAACTTTCCAGGTAGGACAGTTTAAAATGTTAACATTTCATTTACATGTATTATCTGCATAATCCAAACTCTAGTAGTTCTCCTAGGGGATGACTATGATTGTGCTTGCTACTGTGGAATTATTCATGTTATTTGTCACACCACTATGTACCTGGTTTCTCTTTCCATTGTTTGTTTTGTAATGTCTCCCAGGTGTCTAGTGGAAAAAGTAAAGGCTATAGCTGTTACTGTATTCCATTCTGAGTCTCTCTGATGCCTTTCTTTGGTGTACTGCATGTCCTAGTTACAGTTTCTACGGCTGTGACAAACACCATGACTGAAGGCATCTTGAAGATGAAAGAGTTTGTTTCACTCCATTGCTTGCTCAGCCTGCTTTCTTATTACCACCCAGGGCCACTTGCCTAGGTGGTACCACCCACAGTGGGCTACTCCCCCCCATCAGTCATTAATCAAAACTGTGCTCTGCAGACTTACCTACAGACACTCTGATATAGACAGTTTCTTAGTTGATCTCCTCTTCCCAGATACATCTAGGTTTGTGTCACGTTGACAGAAGCCCTCTAGGACAGTGCACTTACATTATGTACTTGAGTGAGGCAAGGATTACATTTGTTCCTTTTATTTAAAAAACTTGGTTTTAGTGACAAGTGTGGTGCTGCACACCTTTGATCTAACACTTAGGAGGCAGGCAGATATTTGTGGGTTTAAGGACGGCCAGGGCTTCTTAGAGAAACCCTGTCTCAAACAAACGAAATAAAACAAAAGACTTGGTCTTGTATCTAACTTTTCTCCCTTGAATACTTTCCTGTATTTTTTCATTTTATCTTCATAAAAACTCTGAAATAAGGGGCTAGAGAGATGGCTCAGTGGTTAAGAGCACTGGCTGCTCTTCTAGAGGTCCTGAGTTCAATTCCCAGGAACAACATGGTGGCTCACAACCATCTATAGTGAGATCTGGTGTCCTCTTCTGGTATGCAGGCATGCATGCAGGCAGACTTTTGTATACATAATAAATACGTCTTTAAAAACCCTCTGGCAGGGGGAGTGGGGAAAAGGGATAACATCTGAAATGGAAATAAATAAAATATCCAATTTTAAAAACTCTCTAAAATAGGTATGATTTTACATGAGTGATCATGAAGAAACCCAAGAAAAGTAGTTTTCCGAGTTGTAGTATTCTAAAAGGACATTAATTATATTACATAAGCTTAACTTTGAACATTTTCAGAGGTTTTTTTGTTTCCTCAGACTTTTCTCAGTATGTTCTTCTTCCAGAGGTCTCTGATGGCTTCCTAGATGGTTGGTACTCAACCAGGTGATGCTCTCCCATCCCTGCAGATGAGGCCATCCTGTAAGATTGCTACACTGTTGACACGTGTGTTGGGCAGAGTCTGATAGAGGGCAAGTGGGAAGGAGGAGTACAGAATAGAAGAGACCAGGGTAGTTATCTAAGAGTGAACTGTGTGGGACAGTGTGGATTTTGAACTCACCTCGAGCACAGTATCAGTCCAGTGGTGACAGTGATGCTGCCTGTGGGCACCGAGGTAGAGTTCACTTAGTAACGTGTCTGTCTGCACCAAATCCTGGGAGCCATCTCCAGTTCTCTGTAAACCTGGTTTGGGGGTGTGAGCCTGTAATTGGAGGTAGGAAGATCAGTAATTCAGGGTCATCGTTTTAGTCCAGCCTGGGACACATGAGACCCTGTTTCAAAACCCAAACAAACAGGCCAAAAAACCCTGTAACAGAGTTATTGGTAGAATAAGTGAATTAGCGTACATAAAATACTTGCCAGGTAGTATTAGCTGTTACATCATCATTCCATGCATACACCTGTTCAGGTTATTGAAACAAAAATTAGAGTGTATTGTATGATTCTGAAAAGCAGATATGTGAATCCTGCTCATCCTTGATTTTTTTCAGATACTATTTTACATAAGGATCACGGTTGTAAAGTGGAATAGAATTAGGAATTGTGAAGAGTTGGCATAACTTACTATAAAATTGAAACTTAGAAAATGTGAGGGTCTTCATCCTTACTTATATTAGCTCATCTGTAAGTAAGTAGGGTACCTCACTGAGCCTCTGAAGGGACTGTCACAGTACTGCTCTTCTGTCCTGTTGGCTGTGTCGCCATAATAGAAATGTGTCTAGTAAAGAATGAGCACACATGAAGTGGAGGGCTCAGTGGAAGCAGAGAAGTCATGTTCTCACTTTATTTCTTACCTAGGAAAAGAAGCTTTCTTGTTAGGAAAAGTACACACGACATTACAAAAATATGAGAATGAAGTTAATATCTTTAACATTTTTCCTTAAGGACCAGAGTAATGCGGAGCAGCACGCAGATGGAATTATAGTAAGTCTAATGCAGCCTCTGTTCCTTTACTCCTGCAGAGCCTTGTAACCATAACCATCCTGTCAGGAGCAGCCTGAGTCTCTGTTCACTTCTCAACGCAAACTCCTCTCTTCACATACTCACTGCTTCTTGTTTTTATCTCGCAATCTTCCTTGAGCTGCTAACGTTGGCCATCTTTCAACAATCATTTGGAGGGGAAATGACAGTCTTAAAATTGTTCTAAGTATTGGTTCTGTGAATGAATCACTTTGCATGTGTCAACTTGAAGAGTTAATTAGCTTTCATGTCGTGTCTCTCACTAAGCTGCATTTCTTATGAAACATTGTCTCAGATGAAAGGGGGAGTATGCACAGTATCAAAACAGATCATCTATTAAAAGTGTTTACATTTATATGTTCACCTCTGTTTCCTGTTTGGACTATATACTATATACTATGTTGCATAATGTATTCTTGGTAGAACAGGTAATACGGATTCTTGGACATAGTTATTCTTTCTTCAGCTTTTTATCTTTCTATTACCCATTAACATTTCATTTATAAATAAGAAAAGTTTATGGCAATATTCTCAGCTGGTAATCAAAGATTTTAATGATTTATGGTTGGAAGGCTGGGGAGATGTCTCAATTAGACCTGCCACGAAGGCATGAGGACCAGAATTTGGATTCACCACACCCACCTAAAAGCCAGGCATGGTGGCATGCACCTATAGCTAGTACTGGGAATAGGGGAGAAACCAAGAGATAGAGGAAAGCAACCACTGTTGGCTTCTGGCCGCTATGCACAGGAGCACGTACACACACACACACACACACACACACACACACACACACACACACTCATTATATATCCACACAAAAATCAGTCAAGGTCTGTAGTTTAATAGTTTTAGTGACTTCTGTTGACTATTCCTAAAGTAGAGCTATGGATGTAGTTCAATTGAGAGTTCTTGCTTAGCATGCATGAAGCCCTGCATTTGATTTTTTCCCCCTAGTACCACATCAACTAAATGTAATGATGTCATCTGTAATACTAGCTCTCAGGAAGCAGAGGCAGGAGGATCAGGGGTTCATCAGCTACATTAGGGAGTCTGAGGCCAGCCCAGGCTACAAGAGACCTTATCTCAGGAGAGAAGCAGAAACTGTTCTTAAAACAGTAAGCAGCCTCTTTATCCTGAAGCAGTGTCAGCTTCTCTAAGATATGAAGATGACACATTAGAACCTTGACAATTTTATTGTGCCTGGGGATGGGTAAACTTGTTGACTTTTCATCTAGCTTGAAATAGGAAACAAGCTTATTATTTATGAGTCTTTAAAACTCTGTTTGTAGGGGGCTAGAGAGATGGCTCAATGGTTAAAAGCACTAGCTGTTCTTCAGAGGACCTAGGTTCAATTCACAGCACCCATATGGCAGCACCCACATGGCAGCTCACAACTGTCTGTATCTCCTATTGCAGGGGATGTGACTCCCTCATGCATGCAGGCAAAACTCCAATGTACATAAACTTTTTAAAAAATAAATTAAAAAGTTAGAAGATAAAGGAATCATTTTTGAAATATGAATTAAATATAATATACTGGGATTTTTCTTTCTCTATTTAAAGTGTCAGCCCTAACTGTATGATCCACTACAAGTGCATGGTATAAATGTAGTGCAGTGTGACCTTTCTTTCTGAGGTGCCTCGTGGGCCAGGAGTGTGTGTTCTAGTTCCCAAGGGACACGCTTATGCAAAACTCAAGTTTTGGTTACTTTTAATCTTTTTTTCCCTCAAAGGCTAATTCATGTGTATAAAAAGATGCAGGGTTTTAGAAAGCATACTACACACATTTGATCTTTTGCAATTTATTAACACTGGGAAGGTTCAAAAATTTAAACTTGTAGAAAACTGATTTGAATAATTTGCTCTGAAACTGTAGTCCTTTTGCATAAAAGTTTGAGAAGACGGTGATGCTGGCCGAGAGCTAGAATGCTGGGACTGTACAATAGGCCTGCCATTCACCAACTGAGACTCTAGAGGAGTCACTCAACTGCTCCAGTCTGAGTACTGTCATGGATGACAGAGCTGAAGCTTACCTCTGTATGTTGTTATAAGTACAATACAGTAGACACATTCAAGAGCTATGCACACTTTGCATGTTTTATTTACACATTGCTTTGGCATGGATTCATTAGTGTCCCAATAGATTACAGCTGAGGATTACTCGTTGTATAAACATCCTTCTAAAAGGAAGTTGTAGAATGACTTTATTTTTTTAGCTGAAATTGACCAGTATCTTAAGATAAATGTAGGCAGCTTTTAGTCCATCAAAATAAGAAAAGGTACATTTTTAATCTATATGCTATCAAAAAGGAAAAATTATAACAAGCTTTATTATAGATCTAATTAGTTTATCTGTGATTCATGGACTTTGGAGCCTCTAACTTACTTAAGAAGGATGAGCTCTAGCAGGATGGTGTCTGAAATAGCGAGTTTTATAAGATGACATGGACACCGACAACACTGATTACAACATCTAGTTAGTTTTCTTATAATCTGGATCAAAGCAGACTCAGGCAAACTTGAATTTCCTCTGAAGAGGAGAATGTGGCCTGTTTCAGCATCTGCCTGTTTCCTTGGCGTTTCAGTTTGACTGGTGGCACTGAGCCTGGCTGACTCATTTGGGCTTGCTCTGGTCTTTTGAGGCCTAGTGCAAGGAGCTCAGTCCAAAACACCAACTTTTCCTATTTCTTAGAAATCCGGTTTATTTTTATTTTTGTAGTGCTGGGGATTGAACCTAGGGCTTCGAATCTCTAGACAAGCTCTTTACCACCAAGCTGTGCTCCCCAGCCATCATTTCTATGTTTTAATTTTAGGACTGGATCTCATTTAAGCTGTGCTTGAACTCACTCTGTAAGCTCTTACAGGCCTTGAGCCTTGAGCTTGGGACCCACCGGACTCCATTTTCAAAGTAGCTGGGTTTATAAGCCAGTGCCAGTGGATTAGACTAAATTCCCATGTTTTTTTTTTTTTTTTTTTGTAATGCAAAGAAGTTTAAAGGTTTTTGTAAAATTTGTTTATTTGATAAGCCTAATATTAGAATATTTCATCTGGAAGGAAGATTTCATCTAAAAAGTTGAATTCCAGTCCCTGATTATAAAAGGTATTTATTAGACTCTTCAATGGGACAGATAATACATTTTCATTCATGTGGATCAGAGTATTAGTGAAGAAATTTTTCCTTGAAGTTTTGGTTACAGTCCAGGGATCAAGCCTGGGCTTTATGCATGCTAGGCAAGTGCTCCTCCACTCAGCTGTGGCCCAGTCCTATGTGCTCCGGCCTTTGTGCTACACCAGGGATTGTTCATTCTCAGAACAGCTTCAAGGCTGCTCAGAGCTTCCTAACTTACTAGGACTTACTCCACATGTGAGCATAGAATTATAAAGTAGTGATCTCAAAGCCATCAGTGCAGTGGTCCTCAACCTTCCTAATGCTGCAACCCTTTTATATAGTTCCTCATGCTGTGGTGACCCCCAACATAAAATTATTTTCATTGCTAATTCATAACTGTAATTTTGCTACTATCATGAATTGTAATGTAACTATCTTTTAGACATTTTCCAAGAGGTCATGACTATATAATCCAGGCTCTTGTGTTTTATCCACGGGGAAAACTGAGGCCCAGAGAGGATGAACTCTTAAGGAGTTCAAGAAATTAAAGTTCCAGGTCTCAGTTTCAGTACATTCCCTAATTCACTTTACTAGATACTTACTTATTAAGGGTTGTTTTCATGGTGCCATTTACAATTGTCCTTTGGTTTTCAGTTAATGTCTATGGTAACTGGAATCAGAATTCTTATATTCAAATTATTTAATTAAGAAAATCAGATTGAATAGCTTTTTAAAACAGGAAGGTTTTGATAGCCTGAAAATAATTTAGACATTAAATGACAATACTAAAAAATGAAATCCCTTTACCATGGCCTCAATTTATATTGATAAGTATTTTTAAGGTTTTGTGGATACATTTGGGGATCTTTGAGTAGCCAAGATCATGCTTAAACAAACCATGCACACTAGCAAACCTCTATACTCAAAGCATGAAGGGAGCTGAGGCAGGCCAACCACAAATCAACACCCTATCTTGTTTTTTGTTTTTCGAGACAGGGTTTCTCTGTATAGCCCTGCTGGAACTCACTCTGTAGACCAGGCTGGCCTCCAACTCAGAAATCCGCCTGCCTCTTGCCTCCCAAATGCTGGGATTAAAGGCATGTGCCACCACCGCCGCCCGGCAACACCCTATCTTAAAATCAGTCATTTCAATTAACTGAGCATCATAAATTCATCCAGACTACCTCCCTCTTTAAAGAACAGCATGAGTCAGCTGTGGAGCTTTGGAGTTTGATTTAAGGTAAACCATGCTGTCAGAATAACTTTTTGATTTGGAATCAGAGAAATCTACATTTTTGTCCTTGCCCAAACATTGCTATCACATGGTTGAGCACCTACCCCCAAAATGTCATCAACAAAGCCTTCTTCATGTACCCAGTCCAAAGCAGCACATGATGAGTGTATAGCCAGGTGCCATGACTAGACATGATGTGTGGTGCGGTGTGCTGCACAGTGCTGGGGCAGGAGATGAGGTTGACACGGTGCAGACCGCCGTCATCTGGTGAGGGATGTGGTGTTTCTAACATGCTGTGCTGAGGTAAGAGTTGGGAGTGCCCGAGTAGAGGGAACTAAAGTTGTTACTTGGCTTTCTTGCCTTGCAGGTTTTTCATTTAGCTTCCTTCTGTAACAGTGATTCAATCATTTTTCCCCTTCCTTTCTATGCTCTATTGGGAGAAACTCCTACACCTCTGTATAAAAAAGATACATTTCCCCTTTGCATTTTGACCAACTTACCTACATAATATCCTATGGATTGTGCTGTTAGAAATGTGACATTTTGTTTGGGTGGGTCAGCATGAAAGGACATCTAATTAAAAATAACTCTGCTGTGTTTCTTATCTCAGAGTACTATTAATCCTGTAGATGCAATATACCAGCCTAGTCCCTTGGAACCTGTGATCAGCACAATGCCTTCCCAGACTGTCTTACCACCAGGTACAGTATTTGGAACCATGTTTTACAGAGTAATAGATAAGAAAAACTTAATTTGATAATCACAGTAATCCTAGAGTTTCTTTATATTTTGAAAATAATAGCAGTCACAAAATAATATAGCTGAAAATGAGTTGAAAGAAGAAAGTGTCTTGGGGAGTGATGTTTTTGAAGTAGAATGAAAGAGGTTTGGTTTTCAGAGGCGGCAGACAGCAAGGCAGTGAAGGTGCAGGTCTACTGGCAGGACTGGGTTCTGTGACTCAGAGTTCATCGACACCAAGAAAAAGTGATCCTGCCAACCTAGTTAAGTGTAACCCAGAAATATGTAGATGTGGAGTGCTCTTTATAATTCTGAACAATATAAATATTGTTTACCACAGTGGACATTAATGAGAAAGGGAATGCATATAAAGTGTAAGATGCCTACTAGTTGAGAGGAGAATAATTAATCCAATTTAAAGGAAATAAAATTAACAAAAGCCAGGCATATTGGCTCATACCTTTGATCTCAGCATGTAGGAGGCTAATGTAAGAGGATCCCCAAGAGTTGAGGCTGATCTGAGCTGAGTGAGGTCTTTTCTCAAAACTCTGTTAGTTGCACTGTACATCTCTGTGTTCTCAAATGACAGTAAGGCCAGAGATTATGCTGTATAAGTGAAGTCCTATGTAAAGATACCACATGAAGTCTTTTATGAATTTCTAGTCCTTCAGAAAATGAGCTTGCTATTAGCATTAATGAGGGGGAGTGGTCTCTGTTTCTGATCTTATGTGGTTTGAGTTTCAGAAGTACCCTTGTGCTGGGTGTTGGATGCCCTGGCTGGCTCTGCTGCTGCTCAGAGTGTCAGGGACTCTGAGAGGCTGGAAGGTCATATAAGAAACATGAATTTGAATTACTGTAGAAAAATTCATCTAGGAGTTTTATTTTCCAAATAACTGAAGTTGCTGAGTATATATGTTGGGCTATTCTTCAAACTTATTTCACATATTCCAATCCAGAACCCGCTCAGTTGTGTAAGTCAGAGCAGCGTCCATCTTCCTTACCTGTTGGACCTGTGTTAGCTGCCTTGGGACATCATCAGACTCCAACACCAAATAGTACAGGTACAGCTCTGGGTAACCTTTACTTCTTATAACTTTCCATTAACATGATATTTGTGTTTGGCTCCCAGTAGGGAAAAGGATAAAGAACTGTAATAGCTGCTGACACTAACAATAGCTTAGTTTTTTTTTTTTAAAGATTTATTTATTTATTATATATGAGTACACTGTAGCTGTCTTCAGACACACCAGAAGAGGGCATCAGATCTCATTACAGATGGTTGTGAGCCACCATGTGGTTGCTGGGATTTGAACTCAGGACCTCTGGAAGTGCAGTCAGTGCTCTTAACCACTGAGCCATCTCTCCAGCCCAATAGCTTAGTTTTTAATTGCAGTTCCTCCTTAAAGTGGGTAAAAGTTTGTAATTGAGCCAAGAATATTAGTAATTATAATTTAATTTTTTAATATAGGGCTTTGTTTATGTACCCTCTGCTTGGGCTTCTGGTTGAATCCTTTTTTAAAAAATGAATTGATCATTTGAGACTCGCACACTGTCTCATGGACAAGGACACTGACAGTGTAGGAGTGCAGACCAGAAGCTGGAAGGCCTGTCAATGCTCTCGTTCATGTGCGTGTATCTACCCCCACTGTCACTCTGTCCTGACTGGCTCTTACAGCAGAGACGACTAAAACTTCTGCTTGCATGGTTAGGTCTGCAGCATTGTTTTCACAGTCACCTGGTGGGTGTTTGCAGTTTGCCCACTGACATAGGTGACCCCAGGATTTTCTTAGAGCAATGAGTCACTATTCACCTTTGACCCACGTACTTTGGAAACGTTTATCAGTCTCATTTTTGTCAATTTTGTAGTACTAAATATGTCATTTTAATTTATATTTTATTTATAGTTGTCTTTTCCCTTTCTCTGATATACAGGGCTACACCCATGTTAGATAGTAGATTTATTTCTTACTTTAAAGTTAGTTAAATTTGCATCTTGATAACTGTAGAACCAGACTCAAGGAAATGAATTTACAACTTTTAACTCTGTTAAATTCGGAAGTTTAAAGACTATAGGTCCTGGTGAGCAGTGGGAACCTGACATGTCTTGTCACTTCACAGACACTTCCTTAGTGGAACTTTTTCTTTGTAACCGTGAAAAATTATCATGTGACCTTAGCCCATATTAAATTTTGGGAGTAATGCTATACTTGGGCTTTTTCATATTTAACAGCATGAATAGCTTCTAAACTTTGAGGAAAAAAACAGGAGTCAACAGTAGTTCTTTTACTTGAGAAATGCTAATAAGCAGTTTTAGTAATGGGTTAAGGGTTTTTGCTTTTGTGTTTCATGAACTCTGTCATATCTTAGCTTAAAAACAGACCCTGTAGGTGTGTGTGTTGGCACAGAACTGTCATGCCAGCATAGGGAAACGGGAACAGGGATTGCTGCAAGTTTGAGGCTAGCTTGATCCATATACTGAGTTGCAAGCCAGCCAGGGCTACAAAAGGAAAAAAAAAAAAAAAAACCTGTGAGCTTTGTTTTTCATTTGTATGATGTGATTATGTTCAAATTGTAAAGTGGCCAAAATTTCACCACTTGGAAATACATAAAACTAAATGTAAATGAAAATGTGAGGAACATTTCTGTATGTCAACCAGTTTTAATATAAATTATTTTCAGAGGGTGAGGGTTATCTTCTGAGAATTATTTCTGAAGAAGGTACTATAAAATATCATAACATTTTTTTCTTTTTGAATAACTTTATTTTGGGAGAGTTCTGTAAGCATTAGGAACATATATAAAATGGCACACTACTGTTGACAATGAAAACACAGCACTTGATCTCTTCCAGCTTTATAAATTAAAAAAAATGATTCAGTTACAACAACAAAAAATGTTTAGATATTTTAGCAAGTATCACCTTGCAGGACCATAATTACATTTAAGCTGTTGACTTACCGTTAATGGAAAGTATCTTAACATATTAGAGATGGATTTAAGGGCATTAAAAAATTAAGTTAGTTTATGATTTCTGTTTTGTTTTCATTTTGACTTCCCTATTTCCTCCATCTTTTTTCCTTCTCTAGCATAGAAAAAATATTTCCTTTAACAATAAGTCATATTGAAACCTTAATACTTGGGCCTGCAGTTTGCATTCACATCTATTTCCTTATGTTTTCCACTATATAGTCACAAATACAATCTGCCTGTTAATTGTTGTGATTCATGGTCTGTTTTTCCTATTCCAACAAGAGTTTCTTTGGTCCCTTTTTTTGCTATTGAGGAACAGATAGAATTTAGTTATTTGGCAAAGCAAGTTACCTTTGGAATTTCTACAATGAGCTTTACTTTAGGGAACAAGCCATTTGCCTAAAAGGGATCTTTGTGAACCTGGTACAAAGGATAGCTAGTTGGTTTATTTTATTAACTGAACCAAGATACAAGAACAGGCTAAAAGTCTAGAAGTAGATCTTCCTTTTCTCCTGTTACTGCTGTCTTTGTTTTTCATATTAGTTGTTTTTGACAGGGTTTCTCTTTGTAGTTGTGGGTGGCCTATAACTAGCTGTGTAGACTGGCCTTGACTTCACAGAGATATCCTGCCTCGGTCTCCAAAGTGCTAAGAGCATCATGCCTGGGTTCCTTGGCTTTTGATTGGCAGCAATAACAGTAATTTCAGTTACTTCAGTGTCCACCAGGCATCTGTGATAAATTAGCCTCAAGTAACCTAACAGCCATCAGTCAGACAGCCAGTAAGCAAGTCTCCCTGCCCTGATGTCTGCTTGTTCTCCCTCATTACTGTACAGTGTAGCAAACATGCAGAGACCAGATGATAGTCTTTGCTCTGGGTCTCCATTAATTTTGCCTTCTTTTGTTAGAGTCTGCTGTTAGAAGATGCTCTGGTGGCCTTCGTTTTCTGCATGCTTCCCTTAGTAGCTCTCTTCTCTCTCTGCTCTGAGCCATACGCACCTGACGTAGGTGTAGGAAGAGGGACGTGGGTGCTGTGTACCAGGATTTTGTGGAACAGTTTCACATTTTCTGTGATGAGTGGCTTGAAGACTCTGTGTGGTGTTCAAGCAGTGTCTAGCAGTCATGCTGTCTTGTATTTCCATTGCTGTTGGTATCTGAGTGTATGGTATAAAGAGCATGGCTCCCATTGGTACTGGTGTCTGTTGTGGGAGGCCAAACACCAGTGTGCAATCAGAAGAAGTCCTTCTACTGCAGAGCACAAGTTAATCTTACATTACAAAGTGGAGATACAGAATTTTTTCCCATTTGTTTAAAAGATTGTATCCAAGATGTGGGTGTTATTGCTCAGTGGAAATTGCTCCGTGAGAGAACATTTTTTTTAGTATGTGTGAAGCCCAGGAATCCGTGTTCAGTCCTGTAAAATGAATAAAGATAAAAAGGCTGTGTCCCCAGTCTGTATCACAATTGACCTTCTTATTTTCATTGTCTGATTTAACTGTCAAAAAAACTGTTAAAAAATAAGGTGAGAATTTTATCAGTTGTCCAAACTCAGTCTTGACTTTAGAAAGGTCTGTTGTGGGCCCATCTCCCCAGTTACCACCATTTTTCCTAATTGAATACTTTTGACTCCTAGGCAGTGGGAATTCACCACCTAGCAGCAGTCTAACTCCTCCCAGCCATGTCAACTTGTCTCCAAATACAGTCCCAGAGTTCTCCTACTCTAGCAGTGAAGATGAGTTCTATGATGCTGATGAATTCCATCAAAGTGGCTCATCCCCAAAGCGCTTAATAGAGTAAGTATGTGAATAATGTCTGTATTCAAATTTTAAAAGATGTGGTCTTCAGACTGCTGTTAGTGACACACTTGCCTCATGGAAAGGCTTATTGAGCAAAATCAGTTCTGTGACAGTTTTGACTTAATGATTTGACTCCTGATTTAATAATATAAACTGAATAAAATGCATCAGTTATGGTAATGTGCCGGTAATGTTAGATTAGCTCTGTATATTTCTGTGGTGGCACTGCCATCAGGAAAGGGTCACACTGCATATGTTTGTATAGGAATGAGGATATTTAACAACTATAAGCTGGAATTTTATTGGGTGAAGGTATGATAGAAAATAACTCAGTTTGTTGGGATATATATATATATTCATTCATTCCACAGATGCATGGTATGGTGTCTTAGTCTTTTTGAGTAATTTTAGACTGGAAGCTTATAAATAATAGGATTTTATTTCTCATAGTGCAGTCCAAAATCTGGGTGCTCGCAGATTGTTTTGTGTTAGGAGGCTTGCTTTCTGTTTCATGAGTAACACCATCTCTAGATAATGTTCTCTTGTGGTTGAAGGCAAGGCCAATCTCTGGAGCCTCTAATCCTGTGTACCAGAGTTCTTATCTCCTGACTTGATTGCCTCTCAAAGGCTGCACCTCTTAGTACTGCCACATTGGCAACTCAAGTTTCAACATTAGAATTTAGAAACAGTGCTAGAAAGAGAGCTCGGGAGTTAAGAACACTGGATATTCTTTCAGAGGATCCAGGTTTGATTCCCAGCACCCACATGGCAGCTTACATCTGCCTATAACTTCAGTTCCAGGGAATTCAGTGCCCTCTTCGGCTCATTAGGGTCATGTGTACATGTAGGACACACGCTTACACACCGTGTATAACTACATAAATGTTCACACAGTAGCATGCACTATGGTTATGTATAGGATACCGGGACACATTCAGGTCTTGAGCTAGGGACTGGTTTCCAGAGAAGAAAGAGAAGGTGATTCTAAGGTGTGATGAGAACAGAAATGGGGGTGAGAAGAGGAAAGAATGGCAGATTGCACCCTGTTAGACAGGTGTGGAGGAGGATTGGTTTGTCCTCAGAGGGAGAGCCCTTTTCTACCAAACTGACCAGCAGTCAGGGAACAGTCAGCAGCACCGCTTCCTTACCTGTTAGCCTTATAGAAAGCCCTGAGGATGGAGGCCAGCGCTCACCATTGCCCAGAGTGTCTTAGGTTTATACGATGGAATTGCAGCATTGATGGACAGGCTCTGCAAGTCAGATCATGACATGGGCAAACTGACCCACATCCTCGGCACTGTACTGCATTAGCAGTGTTTTGAAGCATTGGAAAAATAGGACTCACTGGTGATTTGAATTTCACTGGATGGTGATTTGCTTTGTTTTGGAGGGGATATTTAAAATACAGGGAATCTCAGACAGAACCACCTGAGTGGCATCATTACCCTGGTGGAATACAATCTAGAGATATGGAAGAAACATGAACTCAGCCACCATAGCAAAGACAAGAACCTACAGCTTAAAGTAGGCAGTAAGTTCTAACTGAAGAAAGAACAGCATAAATATTTGAAGACATGGTGACAAACTGGCACTTCACATGGACGAAAGTATACATTTCTGCAATACATAATGACCATCTAGAGACTAAGACTTTACATAAGAGAAAAACAGACAAAAGACATGAAGAAAAGATACATAGATAAATACACACTTTAACATACAGAATTAGTAGTCAGCTTCTTAATAATTTCTCATTGAGAATACATTGAGGCCCTATTTAAGTAGCTAAACAAGAATTCAGATGGTGTGCACCAGCCCTGCTGGTGAGGAATGACCTAGGTCATCCTTGTGGAGAAGACGTGGAGCAGACTGCATGAAGAGGGAGGGAGGGAACCTTTGTTGGGATTACAAGTGCTCTTCTTAGCCCAGCAGTTCCACTTGTGTCCATTGATCCTATAGCTAATCGACACCTGTAAATAAGTGTACAACTAGCTGATCGCTTTATGTCTAACTGTAGGAGGCTCCTGAAGAATGACAGTAATCTGACTATGAACAGCAATAGTCATGCCTATTCAGTGGGATTCTCTACAACCTTTTCCAAGTAGCCTGGAGTATGACAGTGCACGCCTTTAACCTCAGCATCGAGGAGGCAGATGCATGGCAAACCAACAAACAAAAGTAATATGTTAATAAATTGTAAAAGCTCCACAGTATTGTAGGCCTGTATACCCCAAAGTATACCTAAATGAAAAGTAAGGCAGCTGCACTTAGTTTACTAATTTCCTTTTGTGGAAAAATGTGTTTCTCCCTCTTTCCAATATTCAAACACTGGAAAAAAACATAAATTACTAAGTACCTAGTAGGGGAAGCTGGTTTTAAATAACCAGAAGCAAGCACTTTCTTACTGTTCACACTTCAGTCCTTTTTTTGTTGGGGGTTCATTGTTGCTGTCTACTGCTGGAAACTGAGCCCTTGGCCTTGCTGGTGGGAAGCATTTGCTTAACTACTTAGTTACACCTACACCCATATGAGTTGTCATGTATAAGGACTAATACAATACAGGCAACAGAAACACACACACAAGCCCCACCAATAGAGACCTGAGTTTTCCCAGTGTCAAGGTCAGGATAGAGATGGCTGGGAACTAACAGTAGAAGTTGGCTCCCGCTGTTCCTTTTCATTCCAAGAAGCAGTCAGTAATGAGCACCCTGCTCTGTACTCGGCATTGCCTCTGCTCCTTGTGTTTCTCTTGGGTTTCTTGTTTTGTCTTTTTTTTTTTTTTTTTTTTTTTTTTTGCGAAGGTATAATCGATACAGTCGCATGAACATTTGTGTACTTCAAACCATCAACAGTCTCAGGAGCACAGCCTTTTCAAAGTTCTGTCATGTCCCTTTGTCCTTTCTCCCAACATATGTCTTCTCACCCACAAGCAGCCACTCATCTGTTTGCTGTCACTAGATAGTTTTTTCCTTCTTTAAGACAGTAACAGGACTGAGGTGTAGCTCAGTGGTTAAGTGCTTGCCTGGCATGCATTAACCCCACTGGGGTGGGGCAGGAAGCATTAACAATAAAAAGGACAAGAAGAATGTCGTGTTCATGGGACCACACAGTGAACACTTTTGCTTCCTTTTACACAGAACTGCACTTTGAAGCTCCGTTGTGCTAACCTTGTACTAATGTGCCACTAGCTCATTGTGTGTGTGTGTGTGTGTGTGTGTGTGTGTGTGTGTGTGTGTGTGTGTTGCTGGGCATTTTTCTATTGTAGGCCTGTTACTGTATTACTTTGTTCATTTATTGATAGGCTGTCAATTTTAGTTTAGTTAGATTTCAGTTGTTATAATTAAAATCTTTTGTGCCCCTGTCCCCACCCCAAGGCATGGAGGGCAGAGTGCTTGATTTATTCGTAAGTAGTGTGACTGACGTACGGGACATGCTGTTTAATTTGTTAAGCTTTTAGGAATTTTGAACATCTTTCCATGAATGTTGGCAGCTGCTGGCTGGGTCTGCATTTTAGGTGCCCCAGCTTGTGTAGTGTCGAGGAGAGGCTAGACTACAGGTAGAAAGAGAAGACAAAACCTGGTTTTCAAGTAAGTGCTGGACGTGAGATACTGAGCATGACGGTTTGCCAGATCCTGCTGATAGGCTTCTCCACATTCAGAGTGTTTGACCTGTTTTGCTACATTAAAGCGAAGCTAGGTATGTAACACTGCACAGGAAGGCTCTCAGCACCACTTAGATGTTAGCTGATGGGGAAAAGGCTTGCCGGCCTCTGTGTACAGGCAGGTTGCTATGGTGTCTGAATTCTAGAACCTCAGATCCATTGAGTTGTGAGTCAGTTTTGTTGGATGACCTTAGTCAGCTTTCTTTTTCCTGTGTAACTCTCAGTTTCCTCATTGGTAAAATGAGGGTAATACTAAGTTCAGTGTGGATGACTCACTGTGAACATTCACATCAGAACGGTGTAAGTCAGACCTGCACTCAGAAGGCATTCGCTTCACCTGTGCTTCTCAGATGCTCAGCTTTGGTTTTGCTGGGCATTTTCCCTGCTCTTGGAAATTGGTACAACTGATGGAGCTTGGGTTTTGCTTTGTGTGGCAAGATAAACCTGGTACGGATTGTATGTGAACTGCAAGCTGTATGTCCCCAAACCTTAGGCATTGAAAGTTCTTTCTTTCAGTAAGAAATGTGTGTAATGCCAGGTAGTGGTGGCACATGGCTTTAATCCCACCAACTCAGGAGGCAGAAGCAAGCAGATCTTTGTGAGTTCAAAGCCAGCCTGGTCTACAAAGTTCTAGGACAGCCAGGGCTACACAGAGAAATCCTGTCTTGGAAAACCAAAAAGGAAAACGTTAAAAAAAAAAAAAAAAAAAGAAGGGGGGGGGGGGGAAAAAAATAGGAGAGAGAGAGAGAGAGAGAGAGAAGAGAAAGGAATGTGTGTAGGACTTTGGTTTTCTTCTGTTTAAGTGTGCACAAGACTCACAGGAAACTCACTGTTGGCTTGTGAAGTTCATGTTAGTAAGGGAAATTCAGCTTTTAAAGTTGAGGAAAAGTAACTTATATGTGGTATAAATGACAGTCTGGAATGTGAGTCAGGAGGAAGGGGTGGATGAACAGGAGTTAGCTTTACATGCTGGGCTCTCCTCTTGCTCTCTGTCTCTTCTAATCCCTCCTCTCCTTTAAATGTTTTCATGTTTTTACTGTTTATATATTTTCCCTTTCTCAAATTCATGACCTTTTTTTAATAGTTTCACATATATTATGTATAGTTCCATATATGTGTGTGTATATATGAGTAAATATGTACATACAGCCTGCTGAGTTCATCCACTGTTGCTCGGTTGTGTATGTGCTTAAGGCTGGCCATGGTATTGGATAAGCATCAGGGGCTCTCCCTGGAGACTCGCAGCTCCTTCTCTTGATCATTGTTAATTACTTGTGTCTCTTCATCTAGAGGAGGCCCAGTTAGATTTCCTCCATCCACACTGGCGTGTCTACTGGTGTTATCACGGTTAAGGCTTGTTAGGGAGCCATGCTGTTGAGGTACTACAGTTCTGCAGCACACATCCTGGTTCTCTGATTCTTAAAATCTTTCCACTCCAACCCCAGTGGAGGCACTCCAGAGTCATTTGCTTTTTGTAATGCTGTTTTTTGATGTGAGGTGGGACCTACACTGTCCCTTATTTATAAGGATATGTATTTAGAATGCAGTTAGAGAATATGGTGGTTTGGGAAAGTAGCAGCAGTAGGCTCTCCTCAGTTTCATGGCCTCTCTGGCCGCAGGTAGTTGGCTAGGTTTACAGTATCAGACAGAAATTCACTATTGAATGGGTATTAAGTCCAATCAGACAGCTCTTGGTTACCACCAGACTTGGTCTGTGACCCATCTCTCTAGACCCACATTTGATGTTTTTGTATTATCTCACAGTCCCTCCATGTCCTTAAGTTTTAATCTTTCATATTCTTTGTTCACACGTCCGTTCCTCTAGTTCCTGACTGTCTGTCTTCCCGTGCTCCGTGCTACCTGTAAGGCTTTCCCTGGGCTTTCTCATTGGGTTAGTGGGGTTTTCAATTCCATCTTTATTTACTTGGGTTCTCTTCAGTACCAGCAGTCTTCTCTTGTCTCCCGATGTTTGTGTTTCCTTGAGCATCACTTTGTTGCTATTCTCCTGAAGTTCATTGAGCTATTTGTGTCTTCATTAAGCTCCTTGAATTCTTGGATGAAGTTCATGGTTATTATTTTAAGTTCTGTGCCTTAGGGTTCATCTAGGTAATTCTCATTGGAGAGTATTTCTTCTGTAGGACTGGTAAACCCAGAGCTTATATACCATCTTGGCCTTTTGTATTGTTTGTGTTTTGTGATGAGACCTGGACATGTGGACTTCTTTCCTTGGCTGTGTGTCTAGTGTGAGATTCTGAGTGGAAGTTTGGTTCGGTTTGGTTGTTGTCCATACAATGTATGGGGAAGTAGTTGGTCAGTTTTCAGATACTACTCAGTGTTGATTTGGGGTGGAGGAACAGGGATGGTTTCAATTCAGTGTTAGTAAAAATCCATGTGAATGGGACAAAGGATTCAACCTGCTTGGGCTGCTGTGCACGCTGTGCTATCCAGAGCTACGACTGGGAGTCTGGGGATAATGGGGCTAGGACAAGGGTCTTGGACACTAGCTAAATTAGCACAGAGTACAGGCCGTACAGCAAGGCCTGAGGGCTGGGGACAGCACAAATGGACAGAGTTATAGTGCTAAGTGCTGCATGTTGTTTCGTAAACTATTAGAAATCATTACGTTTCCAAAAGAATTATAAATTTTTAAAAATCTAACATAGTTATTCATCTTTGCCTAGGGATAGAGAAATAGATCACTCAACAAAATCAAACAAAAAATGATGTGCTGTAATTAGTGCTTGCATAACATTGCAGGTTTAGCAAATAGGCATTTAGAAAAAAATCCAAGTATAAACTTGATTTTCTCTTTTAGAGGTTCAGCTGTTTTATATTTAAACAGAATTTAAAGAGTCTCTTAAACACTAGCTGCTTTCTTTTTAATTTCTTACTACATTTTGTGTATGGGGACTGTACCACAGTTACCTGTAGGGTCGGACAACAACTTTCAGGAGTCATTTTTCTCTTTTCACCATGCATGTTCTAGGACTGAACTCCAGTCATCAGGCTTAGCAAATGTCTGTGCTCACTGAGCCGCCCATAGTCCTTGAGACCATTGCCAAAGAGAAGAGGCACCACAAGCCTGTGGATTTTATCAAAGTAAAACTCATGTTTTATAGCAGTTGAGGTTTAAAGATTAATCTGGTATAATTTGGTATAAAGTTGAGTTGGCTTAAAAGATTGATTCTATTTTGATGATATGCTGAAGAACCAAATATAGTGACAAGAATTCTCATACAAGTCTTTTATGTAAAAATAATTTAAATTCTTACCTGGGTCTTTCATTCATTCTATTGCTTCTTAAAATTAGTGAGATATGCTTTATAGCCCTTTATGATGTATATTAATACTAAATTAGCAAAAAAAAAAAACAGTAACTAATTACCTAAGGAATTTTGCAAAATAGATCAAAACAAGGTCACCTATTTAATGTAGGATACATACATATTCTAATCTTAATTTTTAATATATTAATTTCAGCAGAGCCCAGCAGATTTTTAGGTGGTAAAAGTGTTCTGTACATGTCATTGTTCATTTGTCTCACATAGTTAGGTGTCTAACAATAGGGGTGAAGCCTGAACTGTGTGCTCTGGGTGATGTATAGAAGCAGCAGTTGGAACCATCTGCTCTGGGGCTGGGCAGTGTGGAGGCCGTGTGCTGCGGGCCAGTGGTGTGAGCGCTCTGCACTTGCTGAGCATTTCTGCTGTGAGATCGTTACAGTTTTTAAAGATCGAAATGACAGCAGAGTAAACTCTTCAGCTAGAGTCTATAATGTACATTGTTCTCAAAGATTTGTAAAAAGACTTGGTATTCTGTCTGTATTATGAGAAATTTGTTTGTTTTTATACTTTACATAATTGCTTGTCCTTATGATTTTTTTTTTTTTTTGAGACGAAGTCTTATTATATAGCCCTAGCTGGCCTGGAATTCTCAGTGTACACTCAATTGGCCTTAAACTCATAGAGAATGACTTGCCTCTGCCTCCCAAATGTAGGGATTAAAGGTCTATGCCAGCATGCCCAGTTGGTTATTTAATTTATATGTGAATTCTTAGGTAGATACCAATAATTTTTAGAGGAGTCTCTTTTTAAACCCTCTTAAACTTGTTCATAAAGTTATCTTTTTACCATAACCTGCTCATAAAGACAGTTTTGTGCCAGTAAATTACCATAAATATATTTGTAAAGATAATATACTTTAAAATGTTATTTCAAATTTACTTTTTAAATATTGAGAAAAAGTATTTGGATCTCAGAAAATAAAGACAGGAACCCAAGACTTCAATGGATTACATTGCTGTTTTGATTTTTTGCAGAGTCACACTCTTATAACTCAGGGTGGCCTGAAACTCAAAACAATTCTCCTGCCTCAGCATCCCAAATGCTGAAGGTCGTAAGTGTGATGCACAGCCCCCAACTTGAACTGTTCCATTTTTTGAGAGAATTGCCAGTCCCTTGCTCATCGCCATGTGCACAGAGAAGTGAGGAAGTGAGCTCCGGGTTTAGATTTGGATGCAGAGGCAGAGGTCTGTCTCCAGCCTCCGTCACTGCCGTCAGCTAGGCTCAGTTGAACTCATCCTGTGCACAAAGCGCAGGCTCAGTGTGGAATGCCTGTACGTAGCTGCCTGTAGGAGTCTAGCTGTTTCTGCCATCTCTCTGTGTACTGATTTCAAGTAACTGTGCATCAACATCTACCTTCCATGTTGCTCTTTCACTAAAAAAAGCTGACCTGTTTCACTATCGTTGCTTTTTATTGTTGTTGTTTTGTTTTGTTTTTTATATTCAGTTCTTCTGGATCTGCCTCAGTCTTGACACACAGCAGCTCTGGAAATAGCTTAAAACGCCCAGACACCACAGAGTCACTGAATTCCTCCATGTCCAATGGCACAAGTGATGCTGGTGAGGAGCCTCTGAGAATTTTGTCTTCTTAGAAATGTTTGCGATACTGACAGGGCACCTTCAGTCAATCCAGAGCCAGCCTAAGACGAGCTGTTCTGTTGTAGATCTTTTTGACTCACATGATGACAGAGATGATGATGGGGAGGCGGGGTCAGTGGAGGAGCACAAGAGCGTTATCATGCACCTCTTATCACAAGTCAGGCTTGGGATGGACCTCACAAAGGTAAGAACCAGAGCTGCATTCCCTTCATGGCATGCCTGAGCTGAGTGGGTGGCTGAGTGCTCACAGGTGAGCGGAGTGATCCTGCGTGTGTTTCACTTGCCTCCTGTGTAGTGTGCACGGAGATGAGTGAACTAAGCATTTCTGTGGCTGAGTGAAAGGCAGTGCCCAGAGATGACAGTGGGTGGGCTGTATGGACTAAGAACGGAGATCAGTTTGCAGTAAGAGAGATCCTTGGCAGCCTCACCGTATTTAGATTCATGCCCCCCAGCATTATATACTTATTTAAAATTAAAACTTTGGAGTCTGATAGGATCCATACTAATTTAGGCTAGTACCTGTCACACTCCGGTTTTGTGTTTCCATCTAGGTGGAGGGGACTGTTGTCCCCCTCCACCACCTTCATGTCTTACTTTCTGTGTCACCTCTATTTTAGCCTTACTGTCCTCTAAGAAGCAACTTGATAAATTCTTAGCTCTGCCTTCTTCCTGGTTCCCCAAACAGCACATGTTTTCTGTGATGTTTGTCATATTTCATTAAGTGCTGGTGTCACAGGGACAGTTGAGGCTTGCACAGAGGAACATGGAAGTGTTCAGAACCCCTCTAAAGTTCTGCATCTGCTGGGCAGGCAGTGGGCATTCTGATCTGGGACGTCTTGGGAAATGGTTCTGTAAATTGTATCTGGGGGCCTGTGGTGGGTGTGACGGGAGGATGAGAGCTCTCATCAGTGCAGAGTCTGGCTCTCCTGGAATTTGATCCTCAGGAGTCAAATGTCTGTTTTGCAGGTAGTTCTTCCAACATTTATTCTCGAGAGAAGATCTCTGTTAGAAATGTACGCAGACTTTTTCGCACATCCAGACCTGTTCGTGAGGTAACTGAGCATAATGGGTTGTAATCTTTAAAGGCGGTGCTGCTTGGTAGCTTTCTGTGCAGGTAGCATAGCTGGGCCCCTCTGTATCTTCTGTTGGGGTAGTTGAATCTTCTGAAGGCATGCTGCTATTTATGTGGCTGAGGGGTTAGTAGGCCGTCAAGTGAGTCACCTATGGAACTTCTTTAGAGTCTATTCATAGGTAAGCAACTAGAATTTAAAAGGGCAAGGCTGTGAACTTATTTGAAATTCACTTAATCTTGTTCAGGAAACCTTTCTAAAGCACCTATCATTTGGCAGGTACTTGTTACAACCTGAAGAAAGGAGAAGTTTGAAAGTCCAATTACAGACTGACTCATGAGCTGTAATGTAATATAAAGCCTATGGTCTGAGCTGCTTGCACAGAGAAAGAAAGCACACCAGAGAGAGGTTGACAAGGGTTCATTGCTCTTCACAAGCAGCAGGCAAACCGTCTTAGCATGAAATATGGAAGTTGATGTTCTCTGACTACATCCTTTGTTTGGGAGACTCAAAGCTTTCTGAAGCCAAATGCACGTCACTGAGGCTTCATAGTAGATGAACATACTAGCTAACAACAGAAGGGTGGTGAGAGGGGAGCCAGTGTGACATGTAAGAGAACCATGTAACCAGTTCTTAAAGTGCAGAAATGTTAAACACCTATGGTAGTGATAAATCTAATATATGATTGACAGATGAGGCCCATTGGTATTACTGTCAAGTGCTTCATGACAGGAGCTTTTATTTATGGAAATTTAAAGTTTATTTTCCTCAGAGGAGCCACCTTAGAATTTAAGAGTACAAATAAAATCTGAGTAAATCAGATAAAACAGAATATTAGAAATGCATGATTAACTCCAAAAGGAAGGAAGAGGAAATACTGAGTCAAGGACAAAGGGAACAGGTAGAAGATAATCCCAGGTAACCGGTCAGCAACCTCCAAACATAGGTAGAATACATCCTCTGTCAGAGAAGATAGCAGTTACTGACCTAGATTAAAAAATAAAAAGCAAAATGTATCATTATACTACTTGAATACTGCTTACTTAAAACTAAGCGGCCAGGATTGAAGGTGTTGCTCGGTGGTAGGGTGCAGACCCAACAAGTGTGAGGCCCTTGCTTTTTTGATCTCTAGTATTGCAGACAATTAGGTAACATTTCAGCACCCAGGGCTGAGGAGATCACTTAGTGAGTAGAGTTCTTGCTGTACAAGCACCAGGTCCCAGGTTCAAGCACTCAGACAAAGCAGCAGGGCATGCTCACATGTGCCTTGGCCCCAGTGCTGTGGGGACAGAGAAGGGAGTGGTCAGGGCTTGCCGGCTGCTAGCTTATGTTATATCCAAGTCTACTTAGACACTTTATCTCAAAGATGAGGCAGAGAGTAATAGAGAAGGACACCTGTCATCCTCCTCTGGCCTGTAGAACTGCTCCTAGGTCCACATATCTGCACACTTGTCTGTATGCACCACATACATATTTATCTCTCACACACAAACACCTCAGAAAAGGGGAAATTACCATATGTCTTAGTCTCTGTTCTGTTGCAGTGAAGAGACACTGTGACCAAGGCAACACTTTTAAATTATTTAATTGGGTGCTTGCTTACAGTTTCAGATGGTTATTCCATTATTATCGTGGCAGAGAGTATAGTGGCAGGCAGGCAGGTAGGCAGTCATTTGCTGGGAAAGTAGCTAAGAGCTTTACATCCTAATCTGTAGGCAGTAACAGAGACAGAGACTGGGCCTAGTGTAGGCTTTCCTGAACAGTTATCGACTGGGGACTAAGCTTTCAAGCATATGAGCCTGTTGGAGGCATTCTTCTTCAAACCACCACACCATGCAGAGCACTGAGCACAGCAGAGTTGCTCTAGCTGTTTTAGTATCAAAGGAACAAAGAAGATAAATGTCCTGTAGCCCCAAAGTAAGCACCAGGCCAGCTTGGACCAAAGAATGAGACTGTCTCAAAACAAACAAGAACTATAACCAGAGATAATTTGTAATGATAAAAGAATGAATTTATCAAGGAAAATACAATATATATACATATATACGTATACATGTATATACATATATATATAAAATACTTTCTCTTGATAACTTTTATTTTGTATATATGTGTATTTATGTATACATATATACTTACACATACAGCTTCCAGACAGATGCAACAGGCCTGGAGTGTAGCCCAGTAGTGAGGTGATTCCCTTAGTCTGTGTAAAGCCCTCACATGATTGCCAGACCACCCCCATAGCAAAATAAACAAGAACAACCGCAAGGAGAAGAAAGTCAGCCAGTCCCTCCAGAGCTGACTGGAGAGCCATCCCAAGAAATCAGTAAAGGCTAGAGAGATCTCCATGGTTGAGAATACTGGTTGCTCTTCCAGAAGACTCAGGTTTAGTTCCCAGAACCCAGACATCTGTAGCTCAGTCATCTGTAGCTCCAGTTTCAAGGGATCCAGCACCCTCTTCTGGCCTCCGCTGGGCCCAGGCATGCATGTGGTGCACAGACATAAATGCAGGCAAACCACCAATACATAAAATTTACAAAGAAAACCAGCCTATAGAATATCTGAACAAATTAAAAGTAATTAGTATTATGGTTTTTGACCATAAAAGAATTAAATAGCAGGAATGTGGTGGCACAAGCTACCTACAGTACCAGACTCAAAAGAACTAGACAAGAGAATTAAACTCAAAGCCAATATGGCCACATACTAAAACCTCTCTCAAAACCAAGCAATGATTAGATTATTGGTTGGCAGTTTGGGATGTAGAAAGTCTCTCTGTCTGAAGCAGCACACTAGACTTGCATGAAGTCCTGGAACAAGCCAAAAAAAGATGTGGCTCCAGAAACAAGCAGCAGTATTTACCTCAGGAGGGCATGTAGCATGCAGAGGGAGCTGGGGATGATGGAGATATTGTGTTCTAATTGGGTGACAATTAGCTAAGTGGATATACATCTGCTAGAGTCTTCTAACCAAACCCTGAGGTGAATGTGTTAGCTGTGTATGTTGTCCCTTGGTGTCAAACTGGAGTTGGTATCCACAGTATGGTACGTGGCTCAAGGTAGATCATTCAGTGTGCTTCCTGCCAAAAAGTGGAACTTGACGTTTGTCCTTGCCTCTTCCAGCATTAGTGATCAGAAGGATCCCAGGGACCGAATGGTTCAGGTTGTGAAGTGGTACCTCTCGGCCTTCCATGCAGGAAGGAGAGGATCGGTGGCCAAAAAGCCGTACAATCCTATTTTGGGTGAGATCTTTCAGTGTCACTGGACGTTGCCGAATGATACTGAAGAGAACGCAGTGAGTTCCCCCCCCACCTCTGTGCCTCTGTGCCTGTGTGCCTGTGTGTGTGTGTGTGTGTCTGTCTGTCTGTCTTGTCTGTCTGTCTGTCTGTCTGTCTGTCTGTCTGTCTGTCTGTCTTTATCTCTGTGGATGAGAATGTGCCATAAACATGTGTGGTCAGAGGACAGCACTCAGGAGGCAGTTCTATGTTGGTCACGAGAGTGGCCTTGAGTCCCCAGACTTAGCAGCAGACAACTTTACCAGTGGAGCCTTCTGGGTGGCCCAGTGTTATGGTTTTCAATTATTTCACACTGTGAAATAATTTAAGATTCACTTTATCAGGATTCAATAAAGATGAAAGCAGTGATCTCAGTTCACTGTGCAGAGAATATTGTTGGCGAGTGTTTTCTGTAAGCGGTGGGAGGGTGAAGAGCAGCATGACTTGGGGTGGGCATTAAGTCAGATTGTGACAGCCTTTACACCATAACCATACATTTGTGGCTTATTGGGGTCTCTGTTCTGCTTTGAGAAATGATCATTGTAATGATTTTTATAAAAACTAAATTTGGAACCAGACACTTAAAGAGGTATTGTAGAAGACCTCTGCTGTTTGTAGCTACATGTGTGGGGTGGAGTTGATGGGCGAGTAGTGGATGTCGGGAAGCGGAGACGGTCAGAGGTGTGTCCTTGTGCCCGTGCATCAGCAGCTCCTTTGCTGGCAGAGGAAGGATAAGCCAGGATGAACTGAGACTGTTGGACGTGTGAATGGAGCTTTCAGAGTGAAACTGAGGATGGAGAGAGTTTAGTGTGCTTGGATGCTGAGGAGGAGGCTGTGTCAGAGAACAGTCAGCTGGAGAAGGCTGGCCTGGAACTGACCTAGAACTCTGATGTCTGTTTGTTTATTTATTGGTGTGGGGAGGGTGCATGGCAGATATGGGGGTCAGAAGACAATTTTGTGGATTCTCTTCATTTTTACATGAGTATTAGGAATAGATCAGGTTTCCAGTAGGTGTCTTTACCTGTTGAACCATCTCCCTGGTCTGGGGCTCTATTTAGAGTTGTTTTGCCGACAGAGACCAACAACAAAGAATGTAGAGCCATATAGCTTCTAGGCATAAAAATGAAAAAGTCCCCAGTCCATAGTGCCTGGTCCAAAATAATCTTGTGGAAAATGTGACTCTGTATCTTATTTCCAAGAAGCATATTAATATGTAGTCCTTACTGAAAGCAGAGGTGCAGTGTTCCATGCATACAAGGATAGCTGTGCCAGGCCTGGCTTTATAGCCTCCCTCATATTAGGTCCGTGAGCCTTCAAGAATCTTAGTGTAGTCAGGGAAACTACAAGCCCCTAACTGTCAGCAGTTAAGTGCTGTAATGGAAATGTGTGTGTGTCCAGGAGAGACAAGAGATGCTGCTTATTAGATTCTGCATCGTCCTGTTTTATTGAAAAAGTTTTAAAATTGATGTTACAATTGCTTCCAGGAGCTCGTTTCAGAGGGGCCGGTTCCCTGGGTTTCTAAGAACAGTGTAACATTTGTGGCTGAGCAAGTTTCCCATCATCCGCCCAGTAAGTTACAGGTTTTCTACAACCTTCAGTCTTAAATTGTCAGCCAGTGCACAACAGCCAGGTCAAATGACTTGTCTCTTGAGTGCTGTCCTTCTTGTTATCTGAACTGGAAACTAATCAAAGAGACTCAGCATCACTGACTGCATAGAAGGAAGGGGGTTGGGAACTAACACTTAGCCACCTTACCCATGGCAACTTGGAGACCATTAGTTTGTAGGTTTTGCACAGTTATTCCAGACACGGTTGAGAGGATATATATATCCTCAACATTTTTGTTCAATGTAACATTAAGAGTAGAAATATTAAGCCAGGCAACAGTGGTGCACACCTTTAGTCTCAGCACTTGGGAGGCAGAGGCAAGGGGATCTCTGGGAGTTTGAGACCAGTGTGGTCTACATAGGGAGTGCCAGGACAACCAGAGAGACAGTAGGGAGATCTTGTCAAGAAACAAAAAAGAGTAGAGATATTGGAGGGGGTCCAGATTGAGGGGAGGGGGCGCATGAGCATCCTTGAGGAGCAGGACAGGTGGCCTTTTACATTTTAAACCTGCTAGAGTTGTCATAACCTCCTGTCCACTGGCCCTCTGTGCTTGCTTTGGGAAGAGGGTAAAAGATACACATCTAACATGATGGAAGGCTCTTCTGTGGAGCCAGTGAGTTTGGAGCAGTGACTAAGAAAACACTTTCTTTTCAGTTTCAGCCTTTTATGCTGAGTGTTTTAACAAGAAGATACAATTCAATGCTCATATCTGGACTAAATCAAAATTCCTTGGGATGTCCATTGGGGTACACAACATAGGTCAGGGTAAGTGTGTGATAGTATGGATTCTAGCATGTGCTAGAATTCTAGCATGTGCTGGACACTCAAGAAAAAATGTACCCTGAAAGTCAGGCTGGGTGTCATAATTACATGTAAACACATGAATTTGGAGGAGGGAATAGGTGGGGTATATACTACATCACCTAAGGTGAATGGAGCTCCATACCCATCAACAGATAGCAGGCTGCTGCCCTGACAGGCTGTTCTTCTCCACAGGCTGTGTCTCATGTCTGGAGTACGATGAGCACTACATTCTCACGTTCCCCAATGGCTATGGAAGGCAAGTCAATGATTTTTCTCATCAGCTGCAACCTTGGTTAAGCCACGTCCTTCCTTTCTTTCCTAACTGCCAGTCTTACCTGAGAACCTTTGATCTTGCAGGTCTATCCTGACAGTGCCCTGGGTGGAATTAGGAGGAGAGTGCAATATTAACTGCTCCAAAACGGGTTACAGTGCAAATATCGTCTTCCACACTAAGCCTTTCTATGGGGGCAAGAAGCACAGAATTACTGCAGAGATTTTGTAGGTATTTTGTTTTTCTGCCTCAGTGTTCCACTTTTCTGAAGTACTTTCCTCTCTTGAACTTCTGTTGGGAACTAACCATCAACTAACTTTGTGAGTTGATGACTTTGTGAGTCCATCTTAGGTGTCAGTTTCTTCCTAAAATCTCCTGTCAGAAGGAGATCTACACCCTGGGCCCAGAACCCTCCGGGGTGGTAGGTGGGCTCTGCTGCTGAGAACAATACCCCTAAGGCCCAAGCTCTCCTGTACCATGGACTCCAGCCTTGTCAGGGTGAACCATGAGCCAACCCTGAAAACAGGCTTTCTGACCTCCAATATAGCATCTGCAGACCTTCACAAAGACCCTCATTTTTCTGTTCCTTTGCTAGGGAAAACCAGCAAACATCTCATATAGATAGGCATCTGACAGGACAGGACCTGGGAGGTGGCTGTGTATCTGAGTAACAGGAATTTGTGGATTCAGAAACTGCCTGCAAAAGGAGTCTGTTCTGTTATGCCCTGTGGCTTTTTCTCTGCCCTGAAACAGTGTCCCAGTGGAGTAATGCTTAACTGGTTGTTTAATCAGTTTTCCAAAATGATTTAATCCGAATAAAAGAATCAGCTGACAAACAAACAAACAAACAAACAAAAAAGAGCAGAGTGGGGCCCTGAACAGAACAGTTTGCTATTCCATTCAGAAAGAGTGGGCCCAGCGCACACTGTCAGTCTGCTGCTCTTCTGAAAGACAGTGCTGTACTAGCAGGATGGTCAAAAGGAAGACATGGTTAAGCCTGTACCTAAAAACAACTGGAGCATCTCCTTGAGCTTTGACGTAATCTATAGAAGACAGATGGAGTCTTTCATATGTTATTTGTGTTCAGTACGTTGCTAAATACCACAGATCCTCTGGAGAACACTGTCCTGAGTGAGGAGTGATGGGAAAGCCAGTGTCTTACTGTGAAATGTGTCTGGCCTTTTGGATCTGCTCAGCTGCTTTTTACCAGACTCCACAGTTGCTTTCCCATGTTATACTGACCACTTGCTTGAGTAGAATAGTTTCCAGCTTGAGTCTAATATAAATTGTTTCTTTTCTGTTTAGTTCTCCAAATGACAAGAAATCCTTCTGCTCAATTGAAGGGGAATGGAATGGTATCATGTATGCAAAATACGCAACAGGGGTAAGAACTGTCATTTGCCATTTGCCTAAGCTGCACTGTATGCAACCCACCCTTGGTGGTGTTCCCTTGTCTGGAATTTTAACCGAGAGCAGCTAGCATCTCTTCAGGGTGAGCTGTCCCTCCTTCCCCACCCACTTTCCTACAGTACAGATAACAAAATGGCCTTTCTTTTTTCTGTTCTCAAAACAGTTGAGAATAATTTATTTGAAGCAGTGCTTAGCAGTCACCTGGTAAATGGTCTGTTGTCAAAAGATTTGTAAGATGAAATGTGTCTTAGTTAGGGTTAACTATTGCTGTGATTAAAAGGAAAATGACCAAAAGCAACTCAGGAAGGAAAAGGAGTTTATTTTACTGACACTTCATACAACAGCTCGTCAGAGAAAAACAGTGAGAGCAGGAGCTTGCTCACACAGGGCAGGCAGGACCTGGAGGTGGGAACTGATGCAGAGGCCATGGAGGGTGCTGCTTACTGGCTTGCTCAGCCTGCTTTCATAAACAACCCAGGACCACCAGCCCTGGGATGGCTCTACCTGCAGTGGGTTTGTGTGCTCCCCCCACCCCGCCTGTTAATTACTAATTAAGAAAATGGTCTACAGCTAGATCTTACATAGGCATTTTTCTCAACTGGGACTCCCTCTTGAGGTGACTTATCCTGTGTCAGCTGACATAAAATTGATGAGCACAAAATGCTAATTTGTGTTTATACACTCAGGTTAATGATTATTTGACTGGCTTTGCCTCGGGGATAGAGAAATAGGGCTGTCCTGCCATGAAGGAACTTGGATTTTATATCTACTCAGTGTTTCTATTAAACCAAGTATATAGATTAACAGGGAAAGCTACTGAATCAGTTTAGAGAGGATTTACAACTGATCTTCAGAGGCCACTTATTTGATAGAGGTGGTCTAGTTCCAAGAAATTATATCTCAAGCATGTAGTGTGCACAAAGCCGTGCTGGATCTGTCTGTTGAACTGAGCTCTGAACTCAAGACAACAATTATTTTAGACATAGGTTGCATATGAAACTCATTGTGCTGAGATGTGTGGATTTATGTGCTAATAATAAAGCATCATTCTGCCTCTTATTGTCTAGGAAAACACTGTCTTTGTAGACACCAAGAAGTTGCCTATAATCAAGAAAAAGGTGAGGAAGTTGGAAGATCAGAATGAGTATGAGTCCCGCAGGTAAGGAGCCCTAACTAGAGCAGCTGCCGTCTTTGCTCGCCTAGACTGGGTACCCGTGGGTCTGGGAGACAGAACATTAAAAACCAGTGCCCATTGAACTCCAGTGCCTGGGTCCGTTGTCAATACCAGATTTTAAGAGCTTTGTAACCAAAGTCGAGTTTACTGATTTCTCTGTCTCTTTCCCTACAGTTGAGAATTTCTTACACCTTTTAAGTTCCTATAGTTGACCTCTTGACCCTTTTGAGATCACATTCTTAAACTGAGACTTTTTCTAAAATGAAAATTTTCAGATCTCCTCAACACTCAAGCCCAAGAAAGAAATTAACTCCCTAGAGTTGTATAGAGAGCCAGAGACTTAGCTCCTAAGGTTGTAGCTCGACTCTTATTCTCTCATGCCTCTTTAGTTGAATATGGGCAGTGGGCTCTTGAGAGCCTGCTTCCATGATCTCTACTACTCTGGTACCATTAGCAGCTTACGGAGGCCTGGGCTCCACTGCACCACTCAAGCTGCACCCCTCCAGCTCATGGGCTCCTTCCGTGTCTTTATTCTAGCCTTTGGAAGGATGTCACTTTCAATTTAAAAATCAGAGACATTGATGCAGCAACGGAAGCAAAGCACAGACTTGAAGAAAGACAAAGAGCAGAAGCCAGAGAAAGAAAGGAGAAGGAAATTCAGTGGGAGACAAGGGTAAGTCATGCTTCTGTTTTTTGAGTGGTGACTCGTCCATGCCAGTGAAGGATGCAGAGATGGACCTCGAGTTCCTGAGTTCCTACCTAACAGTGGGATGGGCACAGTATGGGATAAAACCATACTGCCTAACCAGATCCTCTCTTCCTTTTGTAGCTCTTTCACGAAGATGGAGAGTGCTGGGTTTATGATGACCCTTTACTGAAGCGTCTTGGTGCTGTGAAGCATTAGGCTGGCAACGGAAATCACACCTGGTGACCAGGGCAGTAGGCGTAATTAAGCAACAATCGATCTTCCTTCAGGAGAACTTGTCACTTCCTTCTTAATGCAGTGGTTCCTATCTCAGGGATACTGGACTTGCCGACACAGATGAACAATTAAAGTGGAAAACGCTTCCCTTTTCTCCTCTGTGGCAGTTACAATTTTGACTTCAGTCCTGAGAAAAACTTCAGGTTTCAAAACATGATGTCTCTTCCTTTTCCAGATCTCATGCTTTGAAAAGTATTTATAGACAGTCCCAGGTCTCAGCTTCCTGTCCTCCAGTTCTGCTGTTCAGGCATAAAATCTTTATCTCCTAGTTCATATAATCTTGAATTCTAGACACACACACACATAAACAGCAGCTGACAGTTTTTCACAAGTACTCCCACCTGTAAATACTGTTTCTTCAGAGTTGTTTTAGAAAATTAGTGCAATGTATGAAAATCAAGTGTTAGGAAATTTCATGGTTCACCTATAACCTTTATTTTAGAATTGAACTATATGATTAGATTGTATCTAAACCTGAAGTATAATTATATGCAGTGCTTCTTAAGGCTTCATAAAATAATTTTCCAACCTTTTTAAAAATATGTTTCTTTGATTGTTTTAAGACCAACCTGGCAACCTTGCCTGAGGCCTGGCTCTTCCCTACTCGAGCCTCCTCCACCTCTCCTGCACATGCAAGCCCATCCTGGAGTGCCTTACCGCCTCACAGAGCTGGAGGACTACACTTCCCCCCACTCCACCCCCCAAAAAAGCCACAGCAGATGGCTTGATCTGAAGGGAAATACAGAACTATGTTTATTTTAAAATACATTAAAAAACAAAACCAGGGCAGTTTGGTGCTATTAATTAATTAACAAATTAATTACATATAAGCACACAAGAACTGGGTTCTCCTCAGAGGACACAGGCCAGGGGTCCCCCGCGTGCTGACACAAATGTTTGGGTCACACTTGGCTACTGTCTCGTTGCCATCCAGTGCAGTAACCCTGGGTTAGTCTTGTAGAAGAAAGGTAAAAGTAAATCAAATCCTAGGTTGCCATCACAAAACTCCAACAGAAGCCCTAAGGCAGTAGTGTAACTCCATAAAATGCACACACGTCTTCACAGGTTCAGGCCAATGGGACTGCAGTTTATTTGACTATTTTATGGTAGGGGAAGAGGCCGAGTGTCGCTGTGAAGGCCCTGATGTCAGTAATGGGGATGGTGGATTCTGCCAGGAGAGGAGAGGGTGGCAGGTAGGTTAGCTGCATCCCTTCACGAGAATTTGAATCCTCACCAAAAGGGGCACCATCCTCTTCCAGTTCATACTTCCCATATCCAACAACCTGAAAGAGGCCAGAGATGCAGGTGAGAAGTTTGCCAGCTAGATGTGACCAGGACCCCAGACAGTTGGCCATACTCACGTGAACGCTGAGCATCTTACTTCCAGGTCCTCTGTGAGCCTTGAACCAACTGACCAGGTCTGACTTTGAGAAAGACTTCAGTGCTTCAATCTTGCCGAGGAAGAGAAGGTGGTAGAGACACAGGCGTGTGAGCATCATCGCAGGCAGAAGTCCACCCTCCTACCCCCAGAACCTAAGTTATCTCACTTGGCTTGTCTCAGCCTGCCCCTACCCTTCCACAGAAAGGACAAAGATCCTTAGTGACAGGCCTTTGCACTTCCTCACAGCTGTCTGTATAGCAAAGCTGTGATTACAGCTGAGCACAGCTGGAGCCCCAGTCGAGCATCACATGTCACAGGGCCACTGCATAGTCCAGCAACTGTTGATCAGGTCAACTGGGATGACACCTCACAGTGGACGAGAAGACCAAAGTGCTTTTAGATTTCAGCTACAAGTTACCAAAAATACCTGGAGGAACTCCGTAGGAATATGAGCTCTCTATTCTTTAATAGAACCCTGTAAATTACCCCCATCAAAGTCTCACAATAAACCTCAGAGTGGAGCTGCTCTGGCTGAAACTGATCCATGTAGAGGTAAACATTGTATCTTATATAGCTACTACCCAGGGAGAAACAAACTACAGTGAGTCTAAAAACAAAAGATTTAAGAAAAAGAAACCCAGACACATGGCCTAGGCTTCTCCTCCAATCAGAAGCCTTCCCCAGTCCTTCAGGACTGTCTGGTCTGAGAAACCGTTACCTCATGGGCAAGGCGGTCAAAGAGATACTGCTGTGTCACCACTTCGTTCCAGTTCCTGTCCACCTCCTCCCCAAGGTGGGTGTCCTCACACTCTTTCAACTTGATCAGAGCTGTGACCTGTCAAACACGTGTGCAACCATGACATCACACCATGTCAAAACCAACAGCTTGAGATATGCCAGTGTGTGTGTGTGTGGTGTTTATAGGGACATTTGGTTAAATGCACTGGGATGTGAACACCCTTGCCATTGTGCAAGCATGGTAGTGACTAGCTCTGGTATCCTGAAGGCTACAAAGACTGGGCAATAGTCACCTGAGTATTGAATGCATCTTCTGTGAGGTTCTCAATCTTCTCCTCAAAGCTGGAAAGAAATTCTTCTATCTTCTTGTCAACAGTTTCGGAGCTGAAACAATTTGGGTAGAAGGCAAAGGAATTCAGCCTCCCTCAGCATAAAGGCTGAAAGTTTTCTACCCTAAGCCAGGAGAGCAAAATGTGGAAGAACTGTACCTCCAACCTTCAGCTTCATTTCTTAGTACCCACTCAGAGGGCCTGTGTTTGGTTTTTGTTTTAAGATTTGTTTATATGTGTATTTCGCTCACATGTCTGTCTGGTGACCACAGAGTTCAGAAGAAGGCATTGGATGTCTTAGAATTGGAGGATTACACAATTATGAACTGCCATGTGGGTGATAGAAATCTAATAAGAACAACTATGAGAACAAGTACTCCTAACTACTGAGCCACCTAGTTGTTTTGGGACAGTCATGTAGCCCCTGGGCTGGCCTTGACTTCTTTATCCTCCCAACTGCCTCCCATGCCTGGCTCTCATGCCTGGCTTTGTGCATTCAGTGAGGTGCTACATTATCAGTCCAACATCCTTTTCCTCTAGTCTCCCTGAAATCAAACATTGGTAATCCCTCAAAAGTAACCTACACAATTTGAGCCATACCCTATGGGACTAGTAAAGCCTCTAAGCCTAGATGGGCTATCCATTATCCATCCCATCCTTCCAACTAAAAGGAAACCATGGTTGGCCACAGTTGTACAGAATTCAGGGAAGCACCTGTAGGACCCCACCCCCACCCCCGTTGTCTAGAAGAACAGGGGTGGACCCATTTACTCTCTTACTTGTATTTGGTTGCCTGAGTCCCAACAGTTACAGAAAATCCTAGAATCCCAGATGTATTTCTACAGGTCGGGTAGACATGGTACCTAAAGCCAGACAGAGAAGTTACAGGAGTTCATGTGGGGGTGAAGGGCTTCTGGCTGTTTTGGAAGTCCTAAATGGAACATAAGCATGTATGCAGCTGTTTGCATAGGCTGAAGTTCACCCGCTGCTGAACTGGGTATAAGCTAACTTCTGGCCCATGCAGATATCTGAACAAATGGAAAAATTCATCATCCAACACACAAACTGCAGTGCACGGTATGGGAGGGCCAAAGCAGACTGCCTGAAGGGAGCCCCAGGTGCTCAGTGTTCTTGCCAGCACTTACCCCAGGGTCTGCTTGGTTCGAAGGAAGTCAAAGCAGGGCTCTTCCATGTGCATCTGTAATTCACCATACTTTCTATCAGCCTAACACTCAGAAACCTTAATTTTCTTACCCCAAAGTGTTCTATATACTTCCAAAATCCAGCCTCCCATATAAGCCTTTCTCCTAAATGGTCCAGGACCCTGACTGCTCATATTGGATGAGAATAAATAGCCACCTGACCTTCCAATTACAAGTTTCTAACTACCACAGGTACACAACCCTTAGGCATAAAGCTTGGCCTCATGGTAGACCAGGAACTCCTGAACCCCACCTCAGTACACCTCAGTACTTACCACAAGCAGCTCCATAAGAGTGTATTCTCTCAGACTCCTCGTACCTGACTGTAGGGAAAATGTGATCAGACAAGCAATGGCTTACAAGGTCTAACCATCTTAGCCAGTATTTTCTTAGGTTTCACACCCTATTTTCTTGCCCCCACATTCCTGTTTATTATCTATCTTCCCGCCAGCTGGAGGGCATGAGAGCAGGAATTCTGCTGGAACACCTCTGTTATTAGCACGAGTGTTGCCTTCTAGATAGGCATGGGTGACACCAACAATCCCTAGCCTCACAGCTCCTGCTTGTAAGGCTCAGGATACACTGTAAAATCAAACACCTGTAGTTTGAGGCCCTAAGGAGAACCACAAGAAATTGTTAGTGATTGTGGAGGCTCTGAACCTGTTTCTGAAACACGCAGGTACAAACCAAGCACTCTGGAAGCACCCACGAAGCCTAGAGAGTTAAGTACACACTAACACAGGATAAACGTGGAGGGAGGCCAAACAAGGATGCTGCCCGTGCTGACAGATTCCAGAGGAAGAAGATAGAACTAGCACCTCAATTAACAAGCACCAGGATGTTCTCTTTCCCTTTAAGAGGGCTACCATATAACCAGTCAAGTGTGTTCTGTGGAGGGAAACAGTTTCCTAAAGGAAGGAGTTTGTATGAAATGACCGTGGCATCATTCAATGATGACTTGTTCAGAGAAAGACAGGATGGGGAGGAGGGAGGACTGGGGGGACGGCTCAGAGGCCAAGTGCCTGCCTTATGAGCACAGAGCACAGGAGCTGAGTTTAATCCCAGAAGCCACATCTAAGGAATGCTGGGGTTGGGACTGGATTTAATTCCCAGCACCAAAATGGTGGCTCACAAATATCTGTAACTCCAGTTCCAAGGATCCAACATCCTTTTCTAGCCTCTGCAGGCACCAGGCATACATGTGGTATACAGATATACATTCAGAAAAAATACTAATAAAATAAAAATGAATGTTTTTTAAAAAGGACTTTGGTATGGTGGCTTGTACTTGTAACCCTTGGGCTCACTGACCACCAGTCTTGCCCTCTCTCTCTCTCTTTTACACAAAAAGGATGGGGTAGGAAGGTAGATAGCACTGAGGAATGATCTCGAAGGTTGACTTATGACTTCTATAGGCACACACACACACACATACAATAAAGGGGAGAAGGGTGATACTCAGACCCATGATCAGCAACACAATAAGTCAGAAAAAAGTAAACAAAGTCGTGTTACCCAAAGGCTAGACTACTAATTGGACAGGACAGGCTTAGAGAGGATGTTCACAAATTAGAAGTGAGTGGGACCAACCAAAGACTAAAGCAGGCTCTGAGCTGACTGAGGGCTGCTGAAAAGCACTTGTTTACAGACCTCCTCCTCCTCCCCTCTACTGTGGAAAGAACACACAAAAAGGAAGATCTGAGTCCCAAAGAATAAAGAACTGTCTTGGATTTACCACCCCACTAAAAGCAGGGGATGAATTTTTCTCACTTGGTAGTTATTCTGGTTGTTCTATGCTGATTATTTAGCTAGGTTTACTTTCATTTCTTTCCAAGTTAGCCTTTAATAAATAGCTTCTTACTGCTTGGGCTCTGTTAGGGGAATACAATTTTCATCAGACTTTAGTATGTGAGGCAAGCTCACCTGGTAGTACACAGTGACTTCAGAGTTGGCATCCCCTTTATTCAGAGCTCTGACTTTGCATAGGTGGTGGCCGCTCGGCAGCTCCACCACCTGGAACTGCACAGGCATCTCCCGCTCCAAGGGCATGAAGTTCAGCTTGCTGCAGAACAGTCAGCGTGAGGCAGAGGCAGACCTTGTGCTTTCCCCCAACCCCAACTGATGACCTCAGGCCTC